TCATGGTCAACTTCCTCCAATCATAATGCAGAACCTAGAAATTTCTAGAGAGAACACCTCTCTAGGAATCTCTAGGATCTTATCACAAAAGGTGTGCAAAGTGAGTGGTAGCGTCCATTGCGTTCTGTGTCATTCCCTCTTGAAAAAAGATGGAGAATTTACTCACCACCACCACACAGGATGCACCTCTGCCTGTTCCTAGTGAAACCATGCGCTTAATTCCTCTCCACACAGGCGGCTGTTGTCTCCTCCCATTTTGGTATCCAAGAAGTGCAGATGTCACACTTTTTTCAATTGCACAATTATCAATAAAACAGAATTACACAAGTTTGAAATCGGAGTTACAGCAACAGCAACGGTTTTTTTTACAAAAGAAGATAGAATTATTTACCATACTCATCAAAGAGTATGGTAGATAATTCTGTATGAAGAGACACAGGAAAGGAGCATTGAGAGGCATGAAAAGATTGCCAACATGCATGTTCACACTGACATGTCACAAAACAACATGAAAGATGGCAAATGCACCATTTCCATCCCATAGAAAAGTACCAATTTCTAAGTGCACAGAGACAAGCAGAGTCGATTTCAGCCCATCTTTCAAATCCACTCATTTCTAGACACTGTAGAGACAGAGTCCTATGAGCAACCCACAGAAGGGATTGTGCGTTGTTTGATGAGATGTATAGAATTTAGTGTTTAAAGCATCTAGAAACAGAGCCCATCTTCCGTGTGATGAAGTCCTAGGTCCTCAAGTGTGATTCTGTGGTTAGCTTTCAGAAGAAGTCAACCACAGAGTCTTGCTGGAAGATCTATACATTCCTAAAAAAGTGTTCTCTTAGGTGGAAAAATAGCAATTTATTTATTTACTGTCTTTCAGTTTCATGGGATCCTGTGCCCCAACCTAGGTGATGCTTTGTAGCCCAAGAATGATAGTCCTCCAAGTGTAGTGTCTTGGCCGTGGGTCCATTGGTGACTGTGGAGCCCTATTCTTAATCCGCATGTTATCCTGCAGTGAGGATATTAGTTTCTTGGTGGAAAGCTGTCTCAGTCAGGGTTGGCTTGACATGCCTTCCTTTTGGCATGTTTCTCCCTTTTGCCCTCCATTTGTGTCTCTGCAGCAAAGCTAATCACAGCTGACTTAGAGTGCCCAAGGGCCAGGGCTCCCCAGTTCTTGGTGTTTATGCCACAGTTTTTAAGGTTGGTTTTAAGCCCATCTTTAAATCTCTTTTCCTGTCCACCAACATTACATTTCCCGTTCTTGAGTTGGGAGTATAGCAACTGCTTTGGGAGATGATCAGGCATTCGAACAATGTGGCCAGTCCAGCAGAGTTGATGGTGCAGGAGCAACACTTCGATGCTGATGGTCTTTGCTTCTTCTAGCACACTGACACTTGTCTGCCTGTCTTTCCAAGAGGTTTGCAAGATTTTTAGGAGTCAACACTGATGGAATTGTTCCAGGAGTTGAGTGTGAAGTCTGTCCACGTTTTGCAGGTCTATAGCAGAGTTGGGAGGACAGTCCTCAAACACTCTCTGGAAAAATGCTGCACTCGCAGATGGTGTTGTATTTCAGTGTCAATGTTGACTTTTGTGGAGAGGTGGCTGCCAAGATAGCGGAAATGGTCCCAACACCAGTGAACATGGAGGGCTGGCTGTATTTTTTTCTCACTTTCCATGTATACATGTTCCCTTCACCCATTTCTTCCAGGATCTTCAAATTGGTGTTTGCACCTATCATACTCCTGTGCAACTTTTAAATCACATTTCTGGTCCTTTCAAATCTTTATAGGAGACAAAAATATTCCTCTCCTCACTCCCACCATTCTTTAATAAAAGTAACTACACCTGCTGGATGATTTACCGTACTTATTTACTTTACCTAATAACTCAATCTTTTAGTGTTTAATAGAAGAAAGCTAAAGAGAACTTCTCTGTATACATGTCTGTTGTTTGGTTAGAATCAGGAGTTAGCAGACAAGCTTTGATGTGGCAAAATGGTGTCTCATGCTTTGCATTACTGATTCCATGTGACCTACTGTGCTCCCAGAGGGATGCTTCTAGTACTGCTAATGAAAAGACATTGTGCCCTATCATGCTCAATAGATTCTTTGTGAAACACATACACAGAGAGAATGAAGGCATGGTAGGAAATCATTGGAAGATTACCAATGGAAGATGAGGCTATCTGGATGATCTGTAAAACTTGGAGACTATATCAAAACAGATGTTCTCTCTAGAAATCTCTAGGTCTTCGAATATGGTGAGAAGCAGTTGATCACAGGGTGATATTGGAGGATCCAGAGCAGTGGTTCTCAACCTGTGGGTCCCCAGATGTTTTGACCTTCAACTCCCAGAAATCCTAACAGCTGGTAAACTGGCTAGTATTTCTGGGAGTTGTAGACCAAATCACCTGGGGAACCACAGATTGAGTACCATTGACCTAGAGATTCCTGGAGAGCACATTTTAGATAAAATCCATAGATAATCAAAACTACAAATGTGGAGGGTCCACTGTACAGAAGCGAACTGGAATGATAGTTGAATCATCATTCACAATGTTTCAAGTCTTGAACAGTGGACTGAGGGAGTCTAGAATAAGCAGGCCTCCTGGACACAAACTCATGGCTTCTACACTGCCACACAGCCTCTGCTGTTGCCTAATGGTATGGCTAGACACGTCCAAAAGTGGTCCCAGATTCAGTATAACAAACCTGCCACCATGGAAAATAGAACGCTGTATTAGACGTAACTTTTTTCAAATTTTTAGAGCAAACTTGTCCAACACATGACCCATGGTCCATAAGTGGCCCATGACAGCTATGAAAGTGATCCAACTCAAAATTATAAACTTGCTTAAAACATTATGGGTTTTTGAGTGATTTTTTTGGTAACTTGATTGCATGGTTCTCAAGCACAAACTTTGTAGATGACAACAGAAGGGACTGGAATAACACTATGTAACATTTTTTTAAAAAAGTTCCTGGTTTGAATGTGTTATTTCCTCTTTAATTTTGTGATAATTACTTTGAAAATAGTTATTATACTCCAGAAACTTCATTTTGTGGCTGCCTAAACTGTGTTGAATTGGTTGAGATATTCATTGAAAAACTATAGCAAAATGTGCTGCAGGATGTCCCTCAAAAACAAAGTTTTTGCAGTTTAGTAAATCTTTTCCATGTTTTTAATGATAGAATCAATTAGGAAATGACATTTATAACTCAGAAATAAAAATCATGTTACAGAATGTTATCATGGTATATTACATAGTATTATCCATAATTCACATTATAATTGCAAACAGTTTGGCCAGAATACCTGCTCAACAGGTATGGCACATCATTAGGATGATGTAAGGACTTTTTTTTTTGCTTCTCTATGATGGCTGATTTCATGAAAATTAGGTACTGTGATTGGAGACAGACTTCGTGAAGGCAGAGGCAAGAGTAAGGACAGCCATTCTTATCTGTCCTTCCCACCACGTGGTCTTGCCCCACTAACTATGAGGAATGATTTACAGTCCACATGGACTAAGACAGTGGCAGTAAAGATCGTAACATTAGGTTTATCCCAAGCATGGGATGGGACCAATCCAAGGATCTCATTAAGCAATGGATCCTGGACATAGAGCACCAAACGGACTTAGCCTGCGCCCCAGCTTTTATTGTTAGTGAAGCTAATAGATGCCTTACCGCCTCCATGGCTTATCTAACAAACCTGAAGGTGCCTAAACACCGAAGGGCTTTTACCCTGGCAAGATGCCATGCCCTTCCATCGACAGTATTGGAGGGGAGGTATCAGAAGGCCCCTTCAAGGAGAGATTATGCCCTTGTGAGTCCAGACAGAGAAATAACTGAGCATGTTCTCCTACAAATCATGTTCTACAGAGGTATTAGAATTAATCTCATTACTCCATGGCTTCGAAAATACCCAGGACTTACTGAAAAATATTACTCCACCCAGCTGCTTTCGGACTCTAGCACTACAATAACTTACAGTGTTGCTAAGTTTTGTGCTGCAGCACTTAAAATTAGATGGATGATTGACCCCACAAGGCAACGCCTTGTCGGGAATGTAGATAAAGCAACCTGTTACAGCTTAAATGCTACTAGACTTGTAATGTGCCCCTCCTGTCCCTTTTGGTATCCTCCTCCAGTGCTTTGCCCCCCCCCCCTTATTGGTCTTCACCCCATCGGTTCCATACATGTTGCATCGGCCTGTGTTTTTAAACTGTGTTTTCGGACTGTTTTGTAATCTGGGTTTTTTGTTTGTTTGTTTGTTTGTTTTGGTGGCTGCTTCACTAGGGAACCGTGTTTCCCCTTCCCAGGGCATTCGTGCTCACTTTGTGCTGGTCATGGATACACACGCATGTATACACACACACACACACACACATACATATGCACATCAGCTTCCATTAGTGTAATTTATGTGTGGCCCAAGGAAATTATTTTTATTCCAATGTGGCCCACGGAAGTCAAAAGTTTGGACACCCCTGTTTAGAACTTCTCTTATATTGCATAAACATTTGTCCATAGTTCCACAGAAGGAAAATGCATTTATTTTTCATACAAAAATGGTTTCTCTTGCTTCTCTACCTTATACTTCAATGTTGCATTTCTCCTGCAGGTTCTGAGCAATGTTGGAATAAGAACAATACTTAGCTGCTAGTCTAGATGTTCTAGCTCTAATACAAAATCCTTAAAAAAAAACTTCTGGTCCCTGAGTCAGGAATGTTTCCCTTGTTTGAAGAACAGCAATAGCTTGGTGAGAATGCAGGAGTTGGCAATTCTTAAACTGCTTGTAAGAAGTCTCCAGATAAACATCTACACACTCTCTGTGAAAGGTGCAGTATTACTTTAGAAACACCAAACAACTGTACCGCAAATAAGTCAAGCTGTGAAAAATCTCTTTGGATGTTGAAAGTGAGAGGAATGAGTCATAAGCACATGAGCTGGAAAAGAGAGAGAGGGAGCTGAAGACACAAAATCATGCATCTCTTCTTAATGCCCATCACATGATGAGCCCTAAGGCTTTAATTTAATGAGAGGGGAGGTGGCCAAGAGAGGAAAAATTATACCCAGTTCGACTCTGAAGAAGTTTCTAGGAGCAGCAAATTAACCTGTGCAGGTTTCGTGATCTCAGAGTCCAGTTATATCTCCTACGCTACAATGAAGTGGGCTTTCCTCCTTATCTCCCTTGGATACCTGTTGATCGCTGATGGAGTCTTACCTGCTGTGGCCACCAAACGTGAGTCGCTTGTTGTCTTCTTTCTGCAGGAAAATCATTCCTAGCATTGGAAACACTGGCCAGAGGTTCAGAGGCACTAGGGTCCTTTCAAAACAGATGAAACTATAGACTTCCAACAGGTGAAGGATGGGGTTAAGCTGATGTACGCAGATAAAGCTGTGGGTAGAAACACAGGAGCAGAGGCCAGTTTGACACAAGGCAATGACAATGTCAAGAAACTGAATTATGACAATTTCTGCCTGGGATGCAGTTCTATAGGCATTTAAGTAGATAGGGTCACCATAAGTTGGAAATGGCTTGAAGATGCACATCAACCAACATGCATACAAGCTCTGCCGAAATACCCCAAAAGAACCAGGTCCCATCTCATCTAGGAAGCTAAGCAGGGTCAGTGGTGATTAGTACTCGAATGAGAGACCACCAACAATGACCAGGTACTGTAGATTATATTTCAAAGGAAGGAACTGGCAAAACCACTTCTGAGTATTTCCTGCCTAAAAAAAAATCTATTACATTTATGGGGTGGCCATAACAATAGGCAACTTGAAGACACTCAGAGAAGCTCCATGGGGATTACTTCTAACAGACTTGTAGCTATGGAGGAGAAAATTTTCTGGCCCCTCCAATGAATTTTTCCTTTGTTATTCACATTTCTAGCATTGAAAAAGTGAGACATTGTTCATACGCAGGATTCTTCTGTTTCCTGTGATAGCTTTTCCTGCACCTTTTCGTTGGATGTCTTTGTGTGCAACGAGCATTTGAAGTTAATCCAATGTGAGGACTGAAGGAAAATTTCATGGAGGCAGAATTTATATTTCAGGGAACAATGATTTCATTTTGTCCCCTTGTTGCTACACTCCTGCTCTCACTAGATGTACATATAAGATTATATGCATAAGATGCCCATTAACTTAACATTCTGTCACAATTGTGTTAACTGTCATAATCACTCTGGGTAATAAGTGATTTTTCCCCCTTCCAGTGCCTTTCTGTGGGAATTATTTTCAGTACAAGAGATTCCTAGTGCAGAAGAAAAGGGAGGGAAATTAGTTCTCCAGGGAACACAAGTATGTGAACTGTGTATATGTGGTGTGAAAATAGTTTGACTTCTGAAGCTGCAGAAGGTTCTTCAGACTTCATAGCACAGGATTTGTAAAGACACCTCCAGAAAATGCAGAGCATATGAAAAGCAGGAAAGAGACAACAATGTAGGGAAACAACTTTTTTGCTGACTTCCCCAAAAATACTGTTCCATTGAAGACTTCTGATATAATTAGTTAGTCATTAAATTTATTTCCCTTATGAAAATAGGTGTATTCACACTGAAGAATTAAATCAGTTTGATGCTACTTTATGATAGCTCTATATATAATAAGTATATAATACTGAGAGTTGTAATTTGATGAGGCATCAGAGATTTATGGCAGGGCCAAATGCCTTATGAAACTAAACATCTCAGGATACCACAGGATAGACACATGGCAGCTGAAGCAGTATCAAAATGTTATAGTTGGACAGTGTGGCTACACCCTGTATTTTTCTCAGTGATCCCACAAGTTCCTGAACAAATGACTCGTGGCTCATGAAATATTTCCAATTTTTTAGTAAACAAAAACTAAGGGTAATTGTGTGCTGCACTTTGCTTGGTTCAACTCTTGGATGTGCAGAATGTGTGTATGCAGGATCCTTTAATAATTCTTGACTCTTGAGGATTCACCAGACATAACTCAATGATTTCTGACATTGAGAGGTTCCACACATGACTTTAACCTGGGCGCAATCAGGTTTCTTCAATCCGAGTATGCCAGAGTCTACACACCTCTCCCCAACACCCGTGATTTCCTGGGGGGTGGGGTGTCCAGATGCCCTCCTGGAACCTTCCCCCAAACCTCCTTAAAAACAGGGGGTAAAGTAAAATAACTTACCTGGCCACCATTAAACTGCTGCCAAAGATCTCCTGGTGCATAGAATTGATGCACCAGGAGAAAGGGGGATTGCTCCTTGCCCCTCTCTCCTGGCACATCCTTTCTACGTGCCAGGAGAGCTCCAACAGCAGTTTAATGGTCACTGGGTAAGTTATTTTACTTTTTGCCCCATTTTAAGGGTTTTTGGGGAGAGGGCTGTGTGGACGGCTTTCTCGGAAGTCCACCCAGGTCTTTCTAGTATCAAATTAGCTGCAGACAAAGCAGGGTTTTCCTGCTTTGTCCCAAATGCATTCGTTTTTACATGGGGCGTTGTTTGAACGCCCCACACAAAAATCCTGGAGGGCATACATATCTGGATGCGCTCCTTGAGAGCTAAGACTTTGGGTGCATCTCCACAGTAGAATTTGTGCAGTTTAACACCACTTTGATTGCCATGGTTCAGTGCTATGGAATCACAGGAATTATAATTTTGCCAAGTCTTTGGCCTTCTATTCCAAAGAGTGCTGGTCCCTCACTAAATTACAACTCCTGTGATTCCATAGCATTGAATCAGAGTTGCAAAGTCCAAATTTACTTGACAGTAAAGTCTTCAATTTTTTATTTGTTCAGGCCAATGGAACTTTTAATGGGATACATCTTGCCTGGGTTTTAACCTGTTTTAATCTTGTGTTTTTAAAAGCAGGATTATGATTTAATTGTCTTTCAACTTTTGTCTTCTCCTCCTCCCCTCCCTCTTCTCCTTCTTCTCTTTCTTCAATCAGCTCCCTTTAATTTCTAGGGTTCAAGGCACAGGATCATTGTAAAAGTGACATAAATTGTGAATTTAAAAATTGCTATATTTTTTTACACAAGAGATCACCTTTAAGGAATTTCTAGGTTTTCCAGCATGACTCTGGAAGACCCCCAGTGTGTTGAGTTGGCTAGAATTGCACTGGAAGCTGATCATAAAATCACACTGGAGGACCTAGTGATTTATAGACATAACGTTTTAATCAAATCTGCAAAAATCAAAACCATAAATGTGGAGGGAATGACTGCACTTTGTTTAAAATGGTTGTAGCCTGCCTTGGATTCTGTGTTGAGAAAAAGGCAAGATATACATTAATTAATATGGTGAAAAAATGAATGAAGAGGAGTGCAAATCCATCCCTACCTACCCTTTAAATCAGGGGCTTTTAGAGCTTTTGATATGTTTTTAGACAGCCATTCCTAGCATCCCATTAAACATAGCCAAAAGTGAGGGATGGTGGGAATTGGTTTGAATCGGAGAGCCACAAGCTATTTAGCCCTGATCTAAATGTATGCTTAGTAATTAGTAAAGGAGAAAAGCAGGGAGGGTGTGGTGATTATCCTAGATAATATAGGTAAAGGCAGAGGTTACCCCTGACATTAAGTCTATTCGTGCCTGACTCTGGGAGGTGGTGCTCATCTCTATTCCTAAGCCGAAGAGCCGGCGTTGTCCGTAGACACCTCCAAGGTCAAGTGAGCGCCATTATCTTCCTGCAGAAGCGGTACCTATTGATTCACTCACATTTGCATGTTTTTGAACTGCTAGGTTGGCAGAAGCTGGGGGTAACAGCTCACCTCTTCCCAGACCAACTTTTTAGTCAGCAAATTCAGCAACTCAGTGTTTTAAACCGCTTCGCCACCAGGGGGCCCATAACATAGTTTGATGTAAAAGATTATGATATGTGCATTGTATACCAGCAACTCTTCCTTTGTATTGGCCAGAGCTGTACTGAGTGTTTGTATGCATGATGTCTCTCTTCATCTGGTAATCACCCTTGCTTGTTTTGGCTCATGTTTTTTGGAGCCCCCAGTGGCACAATGGGTTAAACGCTTGTGCCAGCAAGACTGAAGATTGACAGGTCAGAGGTTCGAATCTGGGGAGAGCGCGGATGAGCTCCCTCTGTCGGCTCCAGCTCCCCATGTGGGGACATGAGAGAAGCCTCCCACAGGGATGGTAAAACATCAAAAACATCTGGGCAACATCCTTGTAGACAGCCAATTCTCTCACGCCAGAAGTGACTTGCAGTTTCTCCAGTCGCTCTTGACATGAAAAAACAAAACAAAGAAACAATGCTGCTGTTTTATAATGGAGCAAAGCAGCTAAAATCCAACTTAGGCATCCTTCTCTTATTACCGAGAAACTTCTTTTTCTTGATGTGATGTGCCCTGAATTTCAATAAAATAAGTTTTAAAAAAGAATGTAGGCATTCATCCAATGTGTCAGATGGTGTGATTATCAACTTCATTGTACAAAGTGGTATTTGCCATTGCCAGTAAATGCAAAAACAAAAATCAGCAGTCCTATTACTTTAATTTAAAATTAAGCACTTCTGTGTTTGTTATAGGTAAAGCAGAGAGTATCTTCTTGACACTTGAGCTGTTGATGTAGAGAAGTAAACAAAAGTGGTGGACAAATGAATGTTAACATGAAACCATAGGTTTCTGCAAAAATCCTTCCTCCTACCCTCTTCTATTACAGTTAAGGTGCAGCATAAGACAGAAATAAAATTGACAGTTTCTGGGCTTGCCCTCTTATTAGGCAAACTGGGGCAACAGCAGATTTGGTGTATTGTGAAAGAACAGCAAATTGGTATTTGATAGTGTTAATGGAAGCATTGTAGGAAGTACTGAAGCGTGTTAATTCATGGGCTTCTAGTAAATGTAAAGGTAAAGGTTTCTGCTGACATTAAGTCTAGTCATGTCCGACTCTGGGGGGTGGTGCTCATCTCCGTTTCTACATCGAAGAGCCGGCATTGTCCATAGACACCTCTAAGATCATATGGACAGCATGACCTCATGTAGTTACCTTCCCACCGGAGCGGTACCTATTGATCTACTCACATTTGCACATTTTCGAACTGCTAGGTTGACAGAAGCTGGGGCTAACAGCAGGAGCTCACCCCACTCCCTGGATTCGAACTGCCAACCTTTTGGTCAGCAAGTTCAGCAGCTCAGTGGTTTAACCCGCTGCACCACTAGGAACCCCTACATGGGCTTCTACATGCAGAAAATTTCATCTGTAGCTTCTGAACATGTCTGCACAGGCTAAGGGCGAATATACAATAATTCCCATCAGTTAGACTTGTGCTTTCTTTATAGTAATGAATCCCTCTATTTTTCTTCAGAATATTAATTTAGTCTGAAGAGCATGAAGAAACATGCAAAGGATTTATGATCACACTTTCAATGTTGTTAACTTTGCTTTCTAGAGTTTCAAGATGTGATGACTCGAGGAAGAGCATTTTCTCACAACAGATACCACGGGAGGCTAAAGGACTGGTCTTCTGACCACAACAAATGGAATGACAAATTATATCCTCATTGGGAAGAAGGAGACCCTCGATGGAACAACTGCTGGAAAGGTACAGCTTTATTATGTGCATAGTGGGAAAAGTCTGTCTTGAGCAAATGAGCAGCATTTCCCTATATGAGAATGCCAATGGCATAAAACAAATAGCAATCAACAAACTATTTTAAAATTATTGTCATCTGATGTCTTGGTCAATTCTTTTTCACTCAACTTCACTACTGCTGTAAGTAATATGAGTGCATTTTTGCAAACCATGGGATTGTCCTGAGATTCCCTTGTGTGTGCATGGTACATTTTTAACTAGATCAGTATCTAAATTGCTACTTATATAGCAGAAGACAATGTTTTCACTAGATTCTTTTTTAATTTGCACTAAACAGATTTGTATATGTACTGTATTTGCTAATTTGGGTAAGATCCTGTATGGCAGAGCACAGCGTAAATATTGCAGAGAGAACTATACTATGGTAGGCTCTTTACTCTTGCAGGGGTTAGAGCAGGCATGGGCAAACTTCGGCCCTCCAGGTGTTTGGACTTCAACTCCCACAATTCCTAACAGCCTACCGATAGGCTGTTAGGAATTGTGGGAGTTGAAGACAAAACCTGGAGGCCAAAGTTTGCACAATACAATAATAGTAATAATAATAATGGAACTTGTGGTACTTGACCTTTATTTATTTATTTTATTTTATTTAACTTGTATACCGCTACTCCCAATTTGGCTCGGAGCGGTTTACAGAAACAGATTAAAACAATACAATTAGCTTTAAAAATAACCATAACAATAACAATAGGCAGCGAGAACAGGCATAGCCCATGTTGTTCACCCATCAAAAGCTTGCCGGAAAAGAAAAGTTTTACAGGCTTTCCGAAAAGCAAGTAGGTCTCGGATGGTTCGAGTTTCAAGCAAGGCATTCCATAAATAAGGGGCCACGATCGAGAAGGCTCTATGCCTAGTAGATGACAAATGATAGGTCCGGATGTTAGGGACTGCAAGCAGATTTTGGTCTTCAGACCGGAGTAATCTCTGGGGTTGGTAGGGGGATAAGCGGGCCCTTAGGTACGCCAGCCCCAGACCATATAAGGCCTTAAAGGTTAGTACCAGCATCTTGAAAGTGATCCGGTACTCAATTGGTAGCCAGTGCAGCTGTTGGAGAATTGGGGTAATACGACACCTCGCTGGCACCCCATGAATGATAGAATTGGGCCAAACTTCCCACACAGAACCCCCATGACCAACAGAAAATAATTGTGTTTTCTGATGGTCTTTGGTGACCCCTCTGACACCCCTGGTGACCCTCCAGGGGTCCCGACCCCCAGGTTGAGAAACGTTGAGCTATAAGAACATAGTCAGTTGCATTTTGTGTATGTAGTGTCCAAAGGAGTGAGGGTAAAAGATACAATCAACCTCCTCAATGAGCTATAAAAGACATCCATCGGCATAAAGTGCATATACTGCTATTATTTATTTATTTACTGTATTTATACCCCGCCCTTCTCACCCCAAAGGGTGAGAATGTCAGGCAGTATGTGGTTTTAAAAAAAATATTGTGTATAATGATTTAACACAAGTTTTTAAAAAATGACAAATGTCTATTCCACACTATAGAATTGATTGAAAAATTGTAAATGTCCTGGAGGCAATTTATAAAGACATTTTTGTGTGCTGCTTATGGTTGTTGTTGAAAATTTAATATGGCTAGAAAGGAATCTTGTGTACCACCTTGAACTCTTTGGAAAAGTGACCTAACCACATAATTAATCATAATCACCATGTTCAATCTTAATTCCTTTAGGAGGAAAAGTAGTGGCCAGTTTGACCAGTGACAGTCCAGCTCTGGTGGGATCCAATGTGACCTTTAGTGTGACCCTGAAGTTTCCTCGGTGTCAAAGAGAAGATAATGACAGCAATATAGTATATGACAGAAAATGCTTAAATGGTAAGTAACAACTGTCTGCAAGGATATGAATTGGCCTTTTAGAAATTATGGATTGTTGTGAGTGCCTTGTGGAATGCTCCACACTGGTGGTGTTTCCTAAAATGTAATTATTGTGATATCTGTTCTGAAGCATTTAATTATAAAAACTTGACTGGAATTCTCTGTAGTCCAAAGTTAATCTGAACGCCACAAGCTATTGCAGCTGATTTGGTTCATAGATACATGCAGTAGAGCCCTGTTGATGTTTTCCTAGATGTAAGCCCTAAAGGTCAGGTCTAGAATCAGGTGGCTACCTCTAAAGGTTATTTTGAATCCACAAAAGGGCAGAAAAGAGTTAATTGTTCAATTTATTATATGTAATTTTACTTCTAGGGTTGAGGCGGTGTTTCAAAATTTTCTGCCTCAGGCTCCAAAATAACATGGCTGGTCTTATGTGTCATACATTTTGACTTCAGTGAGGAATGTGCATATAGTTTGCTGCTCCATTTGAGACAACAAATGCTAACATTTTGTTCCGTATATATGATGTCACTTATTACAAATCACATTTATGGTTGTGGTACCATTGCACTGACCACAAATGCTCCCCAAAATCCACTTTATAAGCTAGTGGCCAAACCAATTAAAGGAATTATGGAGTTCTGGAGCACAGTGCTATCAGTACTGTCCCCCATCTTGTTTAACAACCATGTGAAGCCGTTGGGAGAGATCATTTGGCGTTACGGAGCTCAATGTCATCTGTAAACAGATAACATATAACTCTATCACTCCTTTTCACCTGCAACTGAGGAGGCTGTTCAGGTCCTGAACCAGTGATTGGCAGTTGTAATGGTCCAGATGAGGGTGAACAAACTGAAATTGAATCCAAATAAGATGGAGGTACTTCTGGTCAGTTGAAAGGCCAAACAGAGTATAGGGTTACAGCCTGTGCCAGATGGGATTACACTCCCTCTCAATCCCGCCTCCATTGCAAGTGCAGTTGGTGAGGACTAGAGACAGGGCCTTATCAATGGTGGTTCCTTGGCCCTGGAATTCTATCGCCTGTAATATTAGGTTCATGTCCTCCCTCCTGGCCTTTAGACAGACAACAAAGACATGGTTGTGGGACCAAGCCTTTGGCTAGTAAAATAATGCAGTGCAAAAATAATTAGGAAATAAATGCACTGAATGAGGATGCATTCCACTGTTTCCCACATTAGATGAGGTGTCAATACCAGTTGTGAAAGGACCCCACATGGAGATGGTGATACTATGATGGACCTCCTTCTTTGTAGATACATCTAATGATGGAGGATCTCAGCCAAAAAGTTTTGGTTTTCCCTGTAAGCCCCTCTATAAATGATGATTACACCCTCATAAATATATTTAAATAAAGCCCATTGAGGTTGCAATGCTATTTTGAAAGGTCTGCATAGTTTGACATTTCCCTTTTCTCTCTTTGATGGCCTTTAGGTTCTTCAAACTATACAGAGGGCCTTCCTGACCAGTATGTTTACAATTGGACTGAATGGATTGATAATTGTGGCTGGGGAAATTGCACACATAACAATAGTCACAATGTGTTCCCAGATGGGAAACCTTTCCCTTACCATCATGACTGGAGGAGAAGAAACTTCATCTATGTATTTCATACTCTTGGTTAGTCCTACAGTGCATAACGGTTTTAGCTTCTTCTTTTTTTCTTCACTTACTTGGACTTTCCAAATAGTATAACATTCTTTGCAAGGGTTTTTGCGTACTACTAAGCATTCTGTGGTATACATTTAGTGATCATTGTGTGACTGCAGATCATTGTGTGCTGCAGAACCACTGCTGATGTTATGAAAGGCTCTGAGATCACATCTCTCAGATAGACAGGAAGATCTTTACTTACACATTAGATCTAGGAAGCAAATATGAACACTTTCTTAACTTCCTTGTCTTTCTGCAGGCCAGTATTTCCAAAAAACAGGAGGATCCTCAGCTATTGTGTCCATCAACACAACAAATATCACTCTTGGGAAGCAAATGATGGAGGTGTCCATTTACAGAAGAGGCTATCGATCATATGTACCAGTGACTGCAGCAAGCATTATTTATGTGGTAACGGGTGAGTTTCATATCACAACTCACTTGGGTTGTATATAACCAGAGATGCTGAAACACAAACCGCCTCTCAAACAACCACAAACATACCCTAGGAGAGAATCTAGTAGGAGTGTGTGTTGGCTACTGTGACTGGTGTTTTAGCTGTGCAAAAAAGAAGACAGAACTAGGCTCCTGGAAGCATCTAAGTGTAGTTCTCCTATTTAAATGCGCTGCTTTGCTTTACACATGGGTGCACCATGTGTATCTAAACTGGGAGTGAACATCCTATTACTTCCCATTCAAAACTTTTGCGAAGGGTGCAGCCTGTAGCAGGGAACAAAGGCTGAACTGAACCTCGTCGAATGGTCTGCTTGTTAGCTTGTTCAGACCTGGAAACAGTTGACATTTTGGCTCTCCTTTGTTGAGCTTTGCCCTATGGCTTGGAAGGACACCCAACTCTATTATTCCTTTCCACCCAATGTCAAGGATGTTGTCCTGGTCCTTAACGCCTGTCATCAGTAATGGACTGGATGAGGGCTAATAAGTTGAAACTAAATCCAGGCAAGACACTAAATCCTAGTCAGTCAGAATATAAATCAGAGTATGGGATTACAGCCTGTGTTGGATGGGGTCACACTCCCCCTGAAAACCCAGGTTGAAAGTCCTAGACTCATAGCTGACCCTGGAACCCCGGGTGTCTGTGGTGGCCAGGAGCGCCTTTGCAGAATTAAACTTGTGCGCCAGCTGCACCTCTACCTTGACATGCCAGATCTGGCCATGGTAGTCCATGTCTCAGTCACATCCAGTCTGGACTACTGCAATGCTCTCTACATGGAGCCTTTGAAGATAGTTTGGAAGCCTCAACTGGTTCAGAGATCATCAGCAGCCAGGCTACTGACTGGAGCGCCGTACAGGAAGAGAACCACTCCCATGTTATGGCAGCTGATGGTCCGCTTCCAGGCTAAATACAAAGTGCTGGTTATTACCTATAAAACCCTAAACAGTTTGGGACCATCCTATCTAGGAAACCACATCTTTTTGTAAAAACCTGCCCGGGCTCTTCATTCATCCAAGGAGGCCCTATTCTCAGTCCCACCCCCATTTCAAGCACGGCGGGTGGGAATGAGAGAGGGGGCCTTCTCCATTGACTGCTGGTCTGCTTCCAGGCTAAATACAAAGTGCTGGTCATTACCTTTAAAGCCCTAAATGGTTTGGGTCTAGGCTATTTGACTAATTGCATCTCCTCTTATAAGCCAACTTGGACACTGCAGTTAGGGAAGGAGGCTCTGCTCTCAGTCCCACCCCCATCTCAAGTACATCTGGTGGGAATGAGAAAAAGGGCCTTCTCTGTGATTGCCCCCCACCTTTGGAACTCCCTCCGTAAAGAAATAAAGGTGGCCCCCTCCCTCCTTGCCTTCAAAAAACTGAAAACTTATTTCTGCTCATTAGCATATGAAGAGGAGGAGAATTAGATGATGATACTGTTACTATTCTTCTGATTGAAAACTGTTATTTCTTTTCAGACTCTGTAAACTCTGCTGGTCCAGTTAACATCTTGGCCAATAATTAACTTACATGCCCTAATGAACCTTGTCAGCTCCAGTAAATTGATACTTGTGTTTGATGTTTTGTTTTATGTTCGTTATAAATTATTTGATAGGTTACCTTAAGTTATAATTTGTTCTTATATGTTGGGTTATTTTCACTATTATGTTTGTATTGATTGTTGTACTTAGGCATTGAATGTTTGCCTTTTCGTGGTTGAAATCTGCCCTGAGTACATTCAGGAAAAGATGCGTAATACAAAAAAAACCCTATTGTTATTATTGTTATTGTTATTATTATCATCATCATCAAGTCAAAGTACTATCTCTTGCTCAGATTTGAACATTATGCTAAGAAAACCATGGATAAAACTTCTTCAATTTATTTAGTAGCTCCCACTCCCATGCTAGCTTGGCTTATTGTGACATGCAACTGTGTCCAATGTGTCCACAATATCAACTATTAATGTGCAGCCCACAAAATAGAACAGGGTAATATCATCTTAAGTGAGCAAACACATTTCAGTTCTGGATTAAATAGGAAGGAAAATACATTTATTAAAACAACAAGACCTCTGTATCCATGGAGTATCGGTTCCCAGCTGGACCATGTTTACTAAACACCATAAAATTACATGATTTCTGGTGCTGGAACCCCATACTGTTACTTTGGAGGGCTAGTTAAAGGTAAGGTTTTCCCCTGACATTAATTCTAGTCGTGTCTGACTCTGGGGGGTGGTGCTCATCATCACCATTTCTAGACAGAAGAGCTGGCATTGTCCATAGATGCCTTCAAAGTCACGTGGCCAGCATGACTGTATGGAGTGGCGCTACCTTCTCGCTGGAGCAGTACCTATTGATCTACTCACATTTGCATGTTTTCGAACTGCTAGGTTGGCAAAAGCTGGGGCTAACAACGAGAACTCACCCCACTCCCTGGATTTGAACCACTAACCTTTCAGTCAGCAAGTTCAGCAGCTCAGCAGTTTAACCTGCTGTTCCACCATTAGGCCTCAAATTGGCTAGGTCCTCTAAAAAGTATGATAACATCTGAGGTTAAGTATAATATAAAATTGCCTAATAAATGTCTAAGAAGACAATTTTCTCCATGGGTGAATAAATAAAACTGCAGATACGGGTTTCATGGTTACGGTGTCTTACTGTACACTGGCCTTCTTATCCTGCATATTGAATCCTCTGCCTGGACTACATTTACAACAGTAAATATGTTTTTTTTAATGTGACTTATACTAAATGTGAATGCTCCAAATGACCCTTATTGTGGATGACCATGGTGTCTCCACTCTAAGGGAAGCACTGTCTTGCATTCAGTCATGGTCTCAACCTTGTCTTTGGCTTCATTTTTATGTCCAGATAAAATCCCCTTGTATGTGAACATGACCCAGAAGAACGACCGCAATGTCTCTGACCATATCTTCATCAAAGATATCCCTATTACATTTGAGGTCAAGGTTCATGATCCCAGCCACTACCTCAACAGCTCCAATGTTTCCTACCAATGGAATTATGGAGATGGCAGTGGTTTGTTTGTTTCCAACAATTCGGTTTCAACACACACCTATAAACTCCAGGGAAATTTCAGCCCCGAACTGCTTGTCCAGGCGTTTATACCTGCACCTTGTGGACCAGTAACACCTTCACCACTACCTACCACCCCAGGTAAGACTCTATAGATCAGTGCTAATGCAAACACATTAGTTAAATTATGTGAGTGGTAATATTAATAAATTGATTATTCTTTAAAATTTATAGCATTCACATTTCTCCTGTAGGTGTTTTAAGAATGTCCATGCAATAATACTACAGGCTGAGTATTTATTTTTTTTGTCCAAAATGCTTGACACCAGAAATGTTTTGGATTTTTTAATATTTTGGAATACCTGTATTAGCATATAATTAAATAATGGGTTTTATCAAAATCTACAAGAGCTGAACAATAATACAAGGCCAGATGTTCCAAGTAGATTCTGTTCATAATACTAAAAATGTTTTGCTGTTAAATTACATTGGCTCTTTTTTTAATTTACTTGATTCAGCAATGACAACTCAGCTGCCACCTAATATGACAACTCCCACCTCCTACAGCTTAACAGATCTACCACCTGTTGAAGGATGTCATATTTCTAGAACTGGACCTTATACAACTTCACTTTCCATTGTAGGTATGTATCTATATCAATAAGAAAAGAAGATTGCCTTGATGAGCATTATCCTCTACTTCGCCATATTCTCCAACTATTCCAATGTGACAGGGGCAGTCTGAATACTTACCTACTTATTACATAGGCGATCCCTCGTCTGAGTATAATGACCTTCCAAGTGTAGTGTCTTGGTAGTGGATACCTAGGCGACTGTGGAGCCCTCTTCTTGATCTGTATGTCCTTCCATGGTGACAGCCTCAGTTTCCAGGTGGAAGGCGGTCCCGGTCAGGGTTGGCTTGATGCACCTTCCTTTTAGCACGTTTCTCCCTTTCACTCTCCATTCCTGCCTCTTTGATTTCTGCAGCACTACTGGTTACAGCTGACCTCCAGTGCTCAAGGGCTTTTGGGTTCTCAGTGTCTGTGCCACAGTTTTTAGGTTAGCTTTAAGCCCATCTTTAAATGTCTTTTCCTGTCCACCAACATTACATTTCCCGTTCTTGACTTGGGAGTATAGTAACAGTTTTGGGAGATGGTGATCAGACATTCAGACAATGTGACCAGTCCAGCGGAGTTGATGGCGTAGCTGGTCTTTGCTTCTTCCAGCACGCTGCCATTTATCTGCCTGTCTTCCCAAGAGATTTGCAGGCTTTTCCAGAGGCAACGCTGATGGAATCGTTCCAGGAGTTGAGTGTGACATCTGTAGACAATCCATGTTTCCCAGGCATATAGCAGAGTTGAGAGGGCAATAGCTTTATAAACAAGCACCTTGGTATCCCTACAGTCTGAATAATCCCCTGTAATTTCACTTTCCCACCTGTTTAAAAATGTCCCAGTTCCTTTCTTTTTCTCCCATATTCTCTCCTTTTCCTAGGGAACTTATGTTGTTGCAAACTGAATTCAAAGTACAAAAAATGGTTTGCGCTCAATTAATTGAGAAATGTGGGGTGGGGGGAGGAGAGGATGGGGATGAGTTTCCCCTCTTTTAATAGGTTTGGATATATGGTTTCAGCTTTTCCTTGCTTGTGTGTTCTTCCTCATTAATATTTTTTGCCATTTGATCACGTTTTGATGTTGCTTGGCCACACACATCCCATTTTCCATCTGTGAAATGTTGGAGGATATGGTTCACTGTGTAAGAAAATGCCCTTTATAAATTTGCTCATGTAGAATGTGTCTCGGCGAGACAAATTTCAGAAGAATCTATTCTGCAGCATTAATAAATGAACAATCCCCCAAATTTCCTAAAGCAAAGGTTAGGTGTTGGTGTCAAAGTTTTTCATCCATGAACAGAAAACATAATTAGAGAATCCTTTCTGTTGGAGGAATGTACTTTCCACTGGATCATATTCCTTGTGTTCAGACACTGCATGCAAATAACCCTTGTCTCCAAGCCTATGAAACAATGCTTTTCAAGTATTTTATAATCCTCAGCAATCCCAGCCCTACTGTTAGGCAGAGTGATTGTAGCAAAGATAATAATTCGCTTTTATCAGAGGAATTCCTGTGACTTGTTTATTTATCTCTAACTCGTTATCACATTGTTCTTGGGTGAAATGAAAAATACTGCTAATGTTCATTTGACAAGATATCTTCTTAACCTTCGCAACAGAAAGCAAATAATAATAATAATAATAATAATAATAATAATAATAATAATAAATATTTGTAGACCACCCTATCTCCCCGAGGGGACTCAGGGCAGTTTCCAACATGTATGGCAAACATTCAGTGCCATATTGGGATGGTCCTGCTAATCAGTAAACATTTCTGTTTGGTTGGACAAAGCTGACGTTCTCACCAGTTTGCCCGAAAGCCACCCATTGTTGTTCTCTTGCTATATTTTGTTACATTGTATGGATAGACCAATTGATATTAGTGTTCCTATCACTCCTTTTGTTGCTGTAATTAGTGGTGTATGTGAATTCAAGCTTGGAAGATTCTCTTGAAATGAGATTGGCTCCCCATTGATTTTAATAGAACTTACATCTGATGGAAGAGTGATCCAGATAATGAACTAAATATATTAACGCACAAATGCAACAGACTATAGATCACACAGTTAATTCTGCCTTGAGCATTTTAAGTCTTAAATGACCAAGGCACATTACATTGCTGGGCTGCATTCTTTTATTATTAAAGCACAGTAGAAAGCATAAATGTATTTTTATTATTTTTGGCATTTGGGTGCTGTCACATTAAAATGGTTTCTTGATGACTTCTAAAAATAAACATACCGTAATAATAATTTAATTACAAACTAAAGCATAAGGCTATACAGCCAAAGGCAAGATTAAATACACCAATTAACAAAATCCTTACACTAAAATTTAACTGGTATATTTATATTTATAAATGCTTATAAACCAAAATTTAATTAGATGTTATTTATTTGCATAATCTGTTGGGAAGGAAATGTCAGATATGTATCCATCAAATAAACCATTTATGTTTAATGCAGGCGAAACGTCAGGAGAAATGCCTCTAGAACATGGCCCTATAGCCCGAAAAAACCCACAAGAACCATTTATGTTTAGATACTGTTTTAGACTACAACTCCCAGAATCCTCCAACCAGCCATTGGCCATGCGAGCTTGAGCAGTGGTTCTCAACCTTCCTAATCCTGGGATCCCTTAATACAATTCCTCATGTTGTGGTGACTCCCAACTATAAAATTATTTTTGTTGCTACTTCATAACTGTATTTTTGCTACTGTTATGAATCATAATATAAATATCTGATATGCAAGGTGTAATTCATTCAGTGGCACAAATACCTGATTTGCCCAAATTTGAATACTGGTGGTGTTGAGGGAGGGATTGATTTTGTCATTTGGGAGTTGTAGTTGCTGGGATTTATTGCTAACCTACAATCATAGAGCACTCTGAACCCAGCCCACAATGGATCTGCACCAAACTTGACACACTACATGCATGGCCAACACTGAATACTGGTGGGGTTGGGGGGGGGGGGTTGTTTTTGAATTTTGGGAATTGTAGTTCACCAACACCAAAAAAAGAAGAGAAGGATAGGCGGAGAGATCCTAGCCTTCTCTGCCAAAAGGGTTTCTAAGACTATCAGAAATATGTGTTTTCTGGTGGTCTTTGGTGACCCTTCTGAAACCCCCCTCGCAACCCCCAGCCCAGGAGTTCCAACTCCCAGGTTGAGAAACGCTGAGCTAGAGGAATCTAGAAATTGTAATGTTTCTAAGCTATGGAAACTATAAATTAATCTGTGTGGAGAATTTTCTAGATCACGCAAAGTTCCTTCTAAAACAATGTGTCAGTAACATTTCCAAATGTGTGTTTTTTTCTGTCAAAGTTCGTGCTCAAAAATTCTAACACCCTACCACATGGTTTTATTTTACCAGAGGGGATCCTTGGCATAAATATTATCCAAATGACAAGTATCCAAGTGGCAGCCACTGAAGTGGAGAATTCCATGGTGGATTTCGTCGTAACCTGTCAAGGGAGGTAGGTTTTGCCATTCATTCTGGCAACTTCTCTTCCATAAAATATAAACTCTGAAATATTGCAGAAGCTTATGTTGGTCAATGACTGGCATTTTGTTAGTAAAATATTCATGTATAAGTTGTGCTATAAATGCAGGATGAATTCTTCATCATAGCACCACAAATGTATTTTGCTGAGAGCAGAAGGGTTGCACATACAGCAATGTTGTTCTTTGCAGTTGCGCATTGTACACTGAGGTTGTGCATTGCAAAATGGCACACAATTATTCAATTTGTTGGGTTGCTGTGAGTTTTCCAGGCTGTACAGCCATGTTCCAGAAGCATTCTCTCCTGACGTTTTGCCCACATCTATGGCAGACATTCGCAGAGGTTGTGAGGTCTGCTGGAAGCTAGGCAAATGAGGTTTATATATCTGTCGTATGTCCAGGGGGGAAGATGGAACTCTTGTCTGCTTGAGGCAAATGTGAATGGTGCAACTTGCCACCTTGATTAGCATTTAATGGCCTTGCAGCTTCAAAACCTGGCCGCTTCCTGCCTGGGAGAATCTTTTGTTGGGAGGTGTTAGCTGGCTCTGATTGTTTCTTGGTGCTGCTGTTCTGCATGGAATTTGAGTAGTATTGACATAGTCTCATATCATATATTTAACATGGACATTTGGGATGTGCTGGGATGATATTGGATTGCTGCCAGCAATTACTACTTTATTCATCTCAAGGCACAAAAGGGGCTCTTAAAAGAACAGCACGTTATACAAATGCAATTGAAAGCCATTAACATAGGTTGCCAGTGTTTGCTAAGATTACTTACCTGTGTAAGCATTTTCTATTGGCAAGCAAATATCAGCGAAGAACTACTTTCAGAAGCACATTCCCAGCCTTTCTGTTCATTTATGAATTCTCAAGTTGGACTCATTCTAGAGTTGCAACAAGGCTCTTGGCACTAGCTTTTTTACACTTATATCTTATCTTGACTCTATAACTTAGTGATTCTCAACCTTCTTAATGCTGCAAGACCTTAATACAGTTCCTCATGTGTGGTGACACTCAATCATAAAATTATTTTTGTTGCTACTTCATAACTGTAATTTTCCAACTGTTATGAATCGTAATGTAATTATGCAAGATGTATTTTTTTATCACTGGACCAAATTTGGCACAAWTACCAGATACACCCAAATTTGAATACTTGTGGGGTTGGGGGGAGGGGTTGATTTTGCCATTTGGGAGTTGTAGTTGCTGGGATTTATAGTTCACTTACAATCAAAGAGCACTCTGAACTCCATCAGCGATGGAAATGAATCAAACTTGGCACACAGAACTCCCGTGACAAATAGAAAATACTGGAAGGGTTTGGTGGGCATTGACCTTGAGTTTTGGAGTTGTAGTTCGCCTACATTCACAAGGCAYTGTGRACTCAAACAATGATGGATCTGGACCAAACTTGGCATGAATACTCAATATGCTGGTGATGTTTGGGGGGAAACAGACCTTGACATTTGGGTGTTGGAGTTGCTGGGATTTACAGTTCACCTACAATCAAAGAGMATTCTGAATCCCACCAACAATGGAATTGGGCCAAACTTCCCACACAGAACCCCCATGACCAACAGAAATTATTGTGTTTTCTGATGGTCTTTGGTGTCCCCTCTGACACCCCCTCATGACTCTCCAGGGGTCCTCATGACTCCCACAAGTGGACAGTGAAGCGGCAGCTCCCCCGTGGTCAGAATCGAGCATACCCTCATGAAGCCAGAAAGCTGGAATGTTAAATTGCCGCTATGCCTATCTATATATGTTGACTGTCTAATGGCATTAAATGTTTGCCATGTATATGTCCATTGTAATCTGCCCTGAGTCCTCTGCGGGGTGAAAAGGACAGAATATAAATACTGTAAATAAATAAATAATAAATATCCCTTGTTGTCCTCTGTCTAGCTAGATGTTTTTTGTAGCATCAGCAAGGAAAGGATGGTTAAGGTGGGCTGGAGAAAACAATGCAATAAACAAAGGAAGTTGAGCCTAGAATCAGGCTGAAGGACCAAGATATTCCTAGGGAGGAATTCTCTCTAGGAGTCTCACTTGAGGACCTAGTCAAATCCGCATATAATGAAATCTGTAAGAGTCAAACCTGCAAATGTGGGAGGCTGACTGTAAACAAACTGGCTGCAATGAAATTAAAACTGATGAAAATCACTCTCTTTCTGATATTCTTCTTTCCCACTTCCTAGTCTTCCTACAGATGCCTGCACCATGATTGCTGACCCCACATGCCAGGTATTACAGAGCGAAGCATGCAATCCTGTGGATGTCGCTGATGAGTGCCTGCTGACCATTAGAAGAACTTTCAATGAATCTGGAACTTATTGTGTGAACATAACACTGGGCGATGCTACAAGTCTGGCTCTCACAAGTACTCTCGTATCCATCGGTGGAGGTGAGCTCTTATTCAGTGATGGCATTCGCAAGCAGTTATCAACTGAAATGTTTATTATCTCATGAGGAATTGCTAAATGTCTAAGTCTAGGGATTTGATATAGAATCAAAGAGTTGGAAGAGACCATAAGGGTTGTCCAATGTAACCCCCTGCCATGCAGGAAAATACAATCAAAGCCCTCTTGACAGATGGACACCCAGCTTCTATTTTAAAATCTCCAGAGAAAGAGATTCCATCTCGCTTGGAGGTGGCATATTACACTGCCGAACACCTCTTATCATCAGTAAGTTCTTCCTAATAGTTAGGTGGAATCTCTTTTCCTGCAGTTTGAATCGATTGCTCCATGTATTGCTCCATGTCCTAGTCTCTGGAGCAGCAGGATAAACAACTTGCCCCTTCCTCAATGTGACATAATTTCAAATATAATAAATAGCTGCTTGTCTAAAAGCTGCAGTTTTCAGGAAAGCTTGTGTACTACTCAGAAAGAGTTGCATCGTTTTTAGAAAACTACAAAGCTCTTGTCATTGTGAAGAAAAATATTTCTGAGTGACTCAAATCTATAGGGCGCCAAATTGTTTCATCTGTTGTGACATGGAAAAGACCATTCCTAGCCTGTGGGACAATGATATTTCTCATTCTGTTACCAGAACAATCCTGAAGTTCCATGAATCATGATACTATATTCACTATTTTTATGGCATCTGTCTTTCTCATTAGGGTTATTTTTTGCTTTTTTGCTTTATTATATTCATAATGTTTAGCCTGCAGAAGAGAAGGGTGAGAGGAGACATGATAGCCATGTAAATATGTGAGGGGAAGTCATAGGAAGAGGGAGCAGACTTGTTTTCTGCTGCCCGGGAGACTAGGACGCGGAATAATGGCTTCAAACTACAGGAAAGGAGATTCCATCTGAACATGAGGAAGAACTTCTTAACTGTGAGAACTGTTCAGCAGTGGAACTTTCTGCCCCGAAGTGTGGTGGAGGCTCCTTCTTTGAAGGCTTTTCAACAGAGGCTGGATGGCCATCTGTCGGGGTGTTTTGAATGTGATTTTCCTGCTTCTTGACAGGGGGTTGGACTGGATAGCCCACAAGATCTCTTCTAACTCTATGATTCTATAACAAGGCTAACGAGTAAAAGACTAACGAAAGCCAATAAGGTTGGCTCAGTATTGTTCCAGGGAAAGATCACAACTAAGCTCTATGTTGTACATAGGGAAGATTTTAAATATAGGAAGAAATATCTGTGCACACAACAGACTCATTTTTGTGTGTGTCAGGAGCAACTTGAGAAACTGCAAGTCGCTGTGGTGTGAGAGAATTGGCCTTCTGCAAGGACATTGCCCAGGGGATGCCCTGATTTTTTTATGTTTTACCATCCTTATGGGAGGCTTCTCTCATGTCCCTGCATGGGGAGCTGGAGCTGACAGAGGAAGCTCATCCGCACTCTCTCTGGATTCAAACCTCCAACCTGTCAGTCTTCAGTCCTGCCGGCACAAGGGTTTAATCTAGTTCGCCACTGGGTGCTCATGAAAAGGGTTTGATTTCCAACTGTGATGAAAGATCTGAGAAGTTTGTTTCAAGTGTCCTGATCGCTTTGATCCGTTATGATACTTTCAGGTTATTGCAGCAAGATGTAAGCTCAAAATCTTAAACCAGAAATAGAAAACCCATGATCTTCCAGGTATTGCTGGACTCCAATTCCTATTGGAGTGACCACAGCCAATAGTACGTAGTAAATGGGAATACTAGCCCTTAAATTTCTGGAGGAATATAGCTGCCTTACCTTTATTGTAAATATTGGTGATGGCTTTTCAATTTTGTGGTTGCAATAAACTATGGTATGTGTTAGGGTGTACGTCTGTTACAGGCATCTGACTGACTAGACTGGTGCACATCTTGTTTATTAAAATAATAAATTTGAATATGTATTAACAAAGTCATTTCGATCTTGTTATTCAAGCTGGAGGGTCATTTTCAAGAACAGCAGAAGGAGTTTTGATTGCTTGTGGTTTCCTTGTGGTGTTTGCTGTTTGCTTGACTTTCTTCCTTTACAAGTAAGTGGATGGCCTCCGATACGGAATTCTCCAAACTCTCATATGCAAGTGTTGACAGTATGTTGTCTATTTATATGTTGCCAAACGGAAGGATAAAAGAGGACACAGACATGCATTAAAACTGTATATGGTAAAATTGGAAATAAAAATCAGCACTAATACTTTAATATTTACAGTTAATACAGTGCAATTAATACAGCACAGATTACAACAGTGGAGAAAACAGTGTATCTAATTATTATGTCCAGATACTAAATAAAGACAGAAACTTCAGTGCTCTTCTTTCTTAGTTCTTTATTTTGAAATCAGGCTTTGGCTAGACAGCCCTTTAAATACAAGGCAAAGGAGAAAGTTTATTTATTTTGTGGCAAAAGCATTACATAAATAAGTATAAAATTGGTAAAATAGAGGGAACACAAGCAGCTAAATAATTTTAGACCAAAAAGGAGCAAGTGACCGCATTGTCTTTATCTTTGAACAGTTCTTCCTCTGTGCATGAGGAAGGGCATTGTGGACAAGCATACAGATGCTGAGTTGTTTGTTCTGTTGTATACCAGGGTGTCTTTTGATCTGCCCACTCTACTTCTGAGTCTGTTCAGGGACTTCCAAGTTGCCCATTTTTGGATTGCTTCTGAAAACAGACCCTCACTGGCAGGACAAGACCTCAGTGTTTATGTAGATGTTTAACATCTCAGTTACTTGTATATACTTGAGTATAAGCTGACTTGAATATAAGCCGAGGCACCTAATTTTACCACAAAAAACTGGGAAAACGGATTGACTTGAGTATAAGCCGAGGGTGGAAAATGCAGCAGCTACTGGTAAATTTCAAAATAGAAATAGATACTAATAAAATTACATTAATTGAGCATCAGTGGGTTAAATATTTTCGAATATTTACATAAAACTGTAATTTAAAATAAGACTGTCCAACTCTGATTAAACCATTATTCTAACCCTCTTCAATGTAAATGTGTTAACGTGTCCTTCCAATAATAATAGAGTAAAATAATAAATGTAATAATAATAATAATAGAAATGTAATAACAGTAATAACAGAGTAAAATAATAAATTTAATAATAATAGAGTAAAATAATAAATATAATAATAATAACAGAGTAAAATAATAAATAACTTTGACTTGAAAATAAGCTGAGGGGGCCTTTTTCAGCCTTAAAAAGGGCTGAAAAATTCGGCTTATACTTGAGCATATACAGTATATTTGAATGGCTTGTTACATCCGTGAAAAGCATGCCAGTCTTCATAATCACAAAACATTGCATTTTTTCCTCTCCAGTTTTTACTGGGAGCTATACTTTATTTCCATGCCATTTAGCCTCTGGAAAGGCCCTTAGAGTTTACATGGAATTTCTCAAAGTCCCAACCTCCTTGAAAATAGTATTTTCTCAAAAGGAATCACAGCGATCTCATGAATTAGTCTGTTTGTAATGATGTTACTAAGATAGCAACGCACTTTCACAGAAGACCTTTCAGTAAATTTATTTTGAACATTCATTCCAGGAGGTATAAAGAATACAAACCTATTGAAAAGGGGAAAGAACAGGAAGCACCGAGCGAAGGACTGAAGGTTTACTTCAACAATGTCAAGGCTGTCCTCTTCCCAGCCAACAACGAGAAAGATCCTTTGCTGAAAAGCAAGACCGGAATCGTCTAACTCTTTAGTATAGTCTCGTATTTGCATACATTTGGGGCTTTGCATTGAACTGTACTTAAATTAAAGAATGCTTAATTGTTAAGATAAGGGGATAGACAGCAATCTCGCTCCACACACAGGATAATGGTTTGATTCACTTGTAAAAACGTGGAGATATAAAGCATGTACTGTCTTGGATATGCAATAGTATATTAGCTAATAAACCATTTACGATGGGTATTGGAAAGTCTCCTAAACAAGTTACTCCAAAGTATTAGTGACTGTGTGTTGGACCGCAGGGGATTTTTGATTGGGAGACAGGACTGAAGTTTAAAGCCTATAATTCCCATTGAACTTTAAGGGAATATCTTCAGAATATAGCTATTATTTTTTGTTAATCCTGAAGTCCTCTGATATGTATATCACTTAGTTTAAAGTGCCATTTGTGAACATTAGGTGTTGTTTCTATAAAAAAGACTGGCTTCCAGACACTTTCGACTGCCACTTAACTCTAATAGCTTCAAATGAATAGTCAAACACACCTCATTTACTCTTAATTACAGCTTGACTGTTCAATTAGTGTGACTGTTCTGTTGACTAAATTCAATAAGCATAAGACAAGAGAAGGGAATCTCTTGACGGTGGCAAAAGGCGCATTAGGCTCCAATGTGCAGAACTGTTGGGATGTAACAAATGAAACAAAACACTGGTACACTAGAGTTTCTTAAACTTATTCCACTTGCAATCCCTTTCTATCTGAGAAATCTTTAAGCCACCCTAGCTATACAGGTATATAAAATAGGTATAAAAACCAAGAATTTACTGATAATAAACCAGCATTTGCAAGGCTCGCTAAATAGGTATTTTGCTTTTTGTGGAATACAGCTGAAGCATCTTCTGCAATGTCCACTATAAACATTGCATACTGTTGCTAACAGATTTATGTAAATATCTAGGTGATGCTCAGAAACCATTTCCTGTTTCCAAATTCTTTGTGATCTCAACATTGAACTAAGGGTACTCCATTTGGGGTCAGGGCCTATAGTTTAGGAATCATGCTCTATAGAGCCATAGTCTTTACAAATAACAACAACAACAACAACTATTACTATTATTATTATTATTATTTAATAATAATTAATATGAGGGATATCCGGAAAGTAAAGTTATAAGTTTTTTAAAAAAATACAAAGAATGAATATACTTTAATAAAACTTACATGGATTATAGCATAGGTATTACATTATTTTTCCACACAATCACCATTAAGTTCAATACATTTTGTCATCAGTGCAATAAGTTTTCGATGCCTGTTTCATAGGAGTCCCCCACCACCTTTTTCAGCCAGTTTGTCACTTAGATTTTCACCTCATCGTCGTTGGAAAAGTGTTTTCCACCCAGGTGTTCCTTCAGTTTAGTGAACAGATGATAGCCACTGGGTGCAAGATCGGGGCTGTGAGAGGAGTGGCTTAAAATATCCCATTCATATGAAGTCAACAACTTTTGTGTTGCATGAGCAGTGTGTGAATGCACATTGTCATGAAGGAGACAAGAGAGAAGCGAAACAGAATGAGGACACTCATCTCTACCCTTCACCACAATGCCAGTTGATGAGCTATTGATGACTGGCACTGCTCGTTCACTTCCACAGGCTTCCCGCTACACAGCAGTGATATTTATTTATTTACTGTATTTGTATACCGCCTTTCTTAGCCAATTGGCAACTCAAGGCGGTTTCCACCAATCAGTATACATAAAACATAATAGATAAAAAACATTAACAGTATAAGACAGCACAAAAACAATAAAAGCAACATAATCAGCATCTCATTACTCTCAAGCATTGTCCAATTCCATTGACAGGTCATTCAATTTCCTATATTAGCTACTCTGTGTTTGTAAACGCTTGCTCGAATAGCCATGTTTTAACTTGCCTCCGAAATGTCAAGAGGGAGGTAGCAGATCTGATTTCCCTAGGGAGGGTATTCCATAGCCGAGGGGCCACCACTGAGAAGGCCCTGTCTCTCGTCCTTGCCAAACGTGCTTGTGACAAAGGCGGGACCGAGAGTAGGGCCTCCCCAGATTATCTTAAAGTTCTCAGTGGTTCGTAAGTGGAGATACGTTTGGACAGGTAAGTTGGGCCAGAACCGTTTAGGGCTTTATAGGCCAAAGCCAGTACTTTGAATTGGGCCCAGGAGCAAACTGGCAGCCAGTGGAGCTGGTGCATCAAGGGGGTTGTATGCTCCCTGAGTGCCGCTCCTGTTAACAACCTGGCTGCCATTCGTTGGACTAGTTGAAGCTTCCGGACCGTCTTCAAAGGCAACCCCACGTAGAGAGCATTGCAGTAGTCTAAACAAGATGTAACTAGAGCGTGGACTACCATGGCCAAGTCAGACTTCCCAAGGTACGGGTGCAGCTGGCGCACAAGTTTTAACTGCAAATGCTCCCTGATCACCACCGAGACCTGAGGTTCCAGGTGCCAACTTCCCCCGCAAAAATTCCCCACGAGAGCTACGTGCCTTGTTACCTTACTTTCTGGATAACCCTTGTAATTTAATAATTAATAATTTATTATTTAAAGGATTTAAAGATAGAACTGCAAAGAGTCTGCCATAAGTCAGTCAAGGTGGTCTCAGTGGTGATCAGCATACTGGGTGCAGTACCTAAAGACCTTGGCCTGCACTTAAAAACAATCAGCACTGACAAAATGTCCACTTGTTAGCTGCAAAAGACCACCCTACTCGGATCTGCACGCGTTATTCGCCGGTACATCACACAGTCCTAGACACTTGGGAAGTGTCCGACATGTGATCGAATACAAAAGTCAGCATAGTGATCTTGTTTGCTGTGTACTAATCTTGTTATGTATCAAATAATAACAATAAGAATACTTTATTTATAACCCACCCTATCTCCCAGAGAGGTCTCAGGGCGGTAATGGCCCCAGAATGGCCATGTGGGCATGGCTGAAAAAGATAAATTGCAACACAAAGAGGAAAAGGTCATCGATCTGGATACAAATCGCATATACTAATCTATCTATCTAAGAGTCAAAGTATGTATGTATTGGGTTTGTTTGTACCACAAAGGCTCATATATGTCTTGATGGATCTTAGCACACTTAGCACACATACGTCACATGGTCCAATTTAAAATAATTGAGGAGTCTGAACTAAAAGCATCTGTGCAGATAACACAGGGCGTCTTTCTTACAATCGACAACAATATGAGTTTTCTCTAAATGGTCCCAAGTTTAAAGGCATCTGTACAGTCTGAGAGTCTAATGGAGTCTGAGCTCTGAGCAGTCTCAGATCTGATCATATGGTCTGTAGCCGCCCCCCCCCCCACAATCTCAAGAAACTTAGAATAAAGGGAAAGCTGCATACCAAAACACACATATGCAATACAGTAAGCAGACAGGATCACATATAAAAATACTAGTGGAGGCTTGAAGAAGGTTGCTATTTCCAACAAAAACATTTCAGTTAAAAACCCTAAATTACATATTTTGGGGGTTGCTGTGAGTTTTCCGGGCTGTATGGCCATGTTCCAGAAGCATTCTTTCCTAACATTTCGCCCACATCTATGGCTGGAATCCTCAGAGGTTGTGAGGGCTGTTGGAAGCTAGGCAAGTGAGGTTTATATATTTGTGGAAGGTCCAGGGTGGGAGGAAGAACTGTCTGTTGGAGGCAAGTGTGAATGTTGCAGTTAATCCCCTTGATTAGCATTGGAAAGCCTTGCAGCTTCAAGGCCTGACTGATCCCTGCCTGGGGGATCCTTTGTTGGGAGGTGTTTGCTGGCCCTGAGAGCCCCTGGTGGTGCAATGGGTTAAACCCTCATGTCGGCAAGACTGCTGACCTGAAAGTTGGGTTGCTGACCTGAAGGTTGCTGGTTCGAATCCAGGGAGAGCATGGATGAGCTCCCTCTGTCAGCTCCAGCTCCCAATGTGGGGACATGGGAGAAGCCTCCCACAAGGATGGTAAAACATCAAAACATCCGGGTGTCGCTTGGGCAATGTCCTTGCAGACAGCCAATGAAATTACAGATGTAACGACAATTAGGTAAAGATAAAGGTTTTCCCCTGACATGAAGTCCAGTCGTGTCCGACTGGGGGTTGGTGCTCATCTCCATTTCTAAGCCAAAGAGCCGGCGTTGTCCGTAGACACCTCCAAGGTCATGTGGCCGGCATGACTACATGGAGCGCCGTTACCTTCCCGCCGGAGTGGTACCTAATGATCTGCTCACATTTGCATATATAAAACTAGCTGTCCCCTGCCACGCGTTGCTGTGGCCCAGTCCGGTGATCTGGAAAATAAAGTAATGACAAAGTGTTGGTTTGTAATATATGTAATTTCTTTATGCTTGTGGGTAAACAGTAGTTTTTGTTGTTTGTCAGTGTTGATGTGGAGAGTGTCTGGTTTGCCTACTCTGGAATATGCAAAATATCATAGTCCTTCTTTAGGGGTCCCGTTCAAATCTATGATACTATATCTGTTATGCGGGGAATGCCGTGGATGTAGCGTACCTGGATTTCAGTAAGGCCTTCGACAAGGTCCCCCATGACCTTCTGGCAAGGAAACTAGTCCAATGTGGGCTAGGCAAAACTACGGTGAGGTGGATCTGTAATTGGTTAAGTGGACGAACACAGAGAGTGCTCACCAATGCTTCCTCTTCATCTTGGAAAGAAGTGACGAGCGGAGTGCCGCAGGGTTCCGTCCTGGGCCCGGTCCTGTTCAACATCTTTATTAATGACTTAGATGAAGGGTTAGAAGGCATGATCATCAAGTTTGCAGACGACACCAAATTGGGAGGGATAGCAAATACTCCAGAGGACAGGAGCAGGATTCAAAACGATCTTGACAGATTAGAGAGATGGGCCAAAACTAACAAAATGAAGTTCAACAGTGACAAATGCAAGATACTCCACTTTGGCAGGAAAAACGAAATGCAAAGATACAGAATGGGGGACAATGCCTGGCTCGAGAGCAGTACGTGTGAAAAAGATCTTGGAGTCCTCGTGGACAACAAGTTAAACATGAGCCAACAATGTGATGTGGCGGCAAAAAAAGCCAATGGGATGTTGGCCTGCATCAATAGGAGCATAGTGTCTAGATCTAAGGAAGTAATGCTACCCCTCTATTCTGCTTTGGTTAGACAACATCTGGAATATTGTGTCCAATTCTGGGCACCACAATTCAAGAGAGATATTGACAAGCTGGAATGTGTCCAGAGGAGGGCGACTAAAATGATCAAGGGTCTGTAGAACAAGCCCTATGAGGAGCGGCTTAGGGAACTGGGCATGTTTAGCCTGAAGAAGAGAAGGCTGAGAGGAGATATGATAGCCATGTATAAATATGTGAGAGGAAGCCACAGGGAGGAGGGAGCAAGCTTGTTTTCTGCTTCCCTGGAGACTAGGACGCGGAACAATGGCTTCAAACTACAAGAGAGGAGATTCCATCTGAACATGAGGAAGAACTTCCTGACTGTGAGAGCCGTTCAGCCCCGGAGTGTGGTGGAGGCTCCTTCTTTGGAAGCTTTTAAACAGAGGCTGGATGGCCATCTGTCAGGGGTGGTTTGAATGCAATATTCCTGCTTCTTGGCAGGGGGTTGGACTGGATGGCCCATGAGGTCTCTTCCAACTCTTTGATTCTATGATTCTATGTGTTTATGTGAATCTATCTATCTATCTATCTATATCTATGGCTGGATAGCTCTTTATCAGGAGGGTTCTGATTACATTTTCTTGCCCTGGTGAAGAGAGTTGGACTGGATGGCCTTAAGTATTTTCTGTTGGTCATGGGGGTTCTGTGTGGGAAATTTGCCTCAATTCTGTTGTTTGTGGGATTCAGAATGCTCTTTGATTGTAGGTGAACTATAAATCCCAATAACTACTCCTCCCAAATGTCAAGGTCTATTTTCCCCAAACTCCACCTGTGTTCATATTTGGGCATATGGAATATTTGTGCCAAGTTTGGTCCAGATCCATCATTGTTTGAGTCCACAGTGATCTCTGGATGTAGGTGAACTACAACTCCCAAACTGAAGGTCACGGCCCACCAAACACTGCTAGTATTTTCTGTTGGTCATGGGAGTTTTGTGTGCCAAGTTTGGTTCAATTCCATCATTGATGGAGTTCAGAATGCTCTTTGATTGTAGGTGAACTATACATCCCAGCAACTACAACTCCCAAATGACAAAATCATAATTTTTTGAGTGATGGTCACTCCTTGTGTAGTGAGATGTTTTGTTGCCAAATTTGGTGTGATTTCGTTCATTGGTTCTTTTGTTTTTAAGCCACTCATTATGACATGAGCATTTAGATAGATAGATATAGATAGATATAGATAGATAGATAGAGATTACATATATAAAAAAAAACCACAGCAGCCCCTGACTTGATCTTGCAAACCTTCTTCTTTAAAAGGCACACACATCATTCGGACAATGGCTATTGCTCTGCAGGAAAGACCACGCTTGGCTTAGGAAGGACTACTACAGCGTCCGGCACTCTAAAGGTTAATCTTTGGAGGAAGAAAGAGGATGGCTGCGCCTGCGCCTCCGCGTGAGGCACGCAGCCAATCACCGCCTCGTTCTGTGCCCCCACCAACCAATCAGAAGTGGCCCCAGAGAGAGACCAATCCTGGAAGCGTGAAGGTTCATAATAGAACGTCGGGGCCTCAACGTTCGGAGCCATGTGGCGGGGTCTGCGCTGCTTGAGGCCGCTGCTCCTGGGCTTGGCTTCTGGGGAGGCTCCCGGGGCAGCGAGGAGGCCCGCCCGGGCGATCGCCAGCGCCCCCCGCTCCCTTTCCTTCTTGGGGTCGCGGGAGCTCAGCAGCCTGGGAAGGCCGGAGCAGGTGGAGGCAGAGGCTGGAGCTGAACAGGCGGGCTTCCAAGCAGAGGAGGAAGGGAATGAGCAGGAGCAGTTGGCTCGCCCAGGTACAGATCCCGGAGTCAGCCTGAAATTGTCACCTGGGGTGCATCTACATGTGGGGAGACATCTTGATTATGCCTCCCTACCAAGTTGGGTTGCTGTGAGTTTTCTGGGCTGTATGACCATGTTCCAGAAGCATTTTCTCCTGACATTTCACCCACGTCTATGGCAGACATCCTTAGAGGTTGAGGGGCTTCAGAGGCATGCTCAGGGCCAGCTAACACCTCCCAACAAAGGCCTCTCCCGGGCAGGAAGCAGCCAGGCGTTGAAGCTGCAAGGCTGTTCAGTGCTATAAACCCAACTTCCCTAGTTACCAACAAACCCCTCAACCTCTGAGGATGCCTGCCATAGATGTGGGCGAAACGTCAGGAGACAATGCTTCTTCCCAACAAAGGATTCCCTTGGTCAGGGAGCAGCCAGGCGTTGAAGCTGCAAGGCTTTGCAATGCTAATCAACTGTAACATTCACACATGCCTCCAACAGACAAGAGTTCTTTCTCTCACCCTGGACATTCCACAGATATATAGACCTCACTTGCCTAATTTCCAACAGACCTCACATGTTCCAGAAGCATTCTSTCCTGACRTTTTGCCCGTATCTATGGCAGGCATCCTTAGAGGTTGTGAGGTCTGTTGGAAATTAGGAAAATGGGGTTTATATATCTGTGGAAGGTCCAGGGTGAGAGAAAGAAATCCTGTTGGAGGCAAGTGTGAAYGTTACAATTGATGACCTTGATTAGCATTGCATAGCCTTGCAGCTTCARCGCCTGGCTGCTCCCTGCCCGGGGGAATCCTTTGTTGGGAAGAAGCATGCTCTCCTGACGTTTCGCTCACATYTATGGCAGGCATTCATAGACCTTGATTAGCATTGCATAGCCTTGCAGCTTCAATGCCTGGCTGCTTCCTGCCCAAGGGCATCCTTTGTTGGGAGGTAGAAGAAGAAGAAGAAGAACTTTATTTTTCTACCTCGCCTCCATCTCCCTGAAGGGACTCGGGACAGCTTACATGGGGCCAAGCCCAGGGAACATACAATTAAAAGCAGAGCAATAACAAAATGCAATTTGAAAGCATAAAAGAAACATAACAATAATAGACAAGCATCAAGCAACAAMAAAAAAAAAAAGGACAGGGGGTGGGGGGAGGCCAAAATACGGGCTGATTAAAGAGTAATTGGTTCAASAAGGTGGATGAAAATGTATAATAGCTTAGGAAATGTCATTAAAACAGAGAATCTAACAGGATCAGAAATAATTCACTTTGACTTATAAAATCTGAATAGTAATGTAATATAGGTCTTAGTTGGACCTTCTTGCAGCAACAGCAGAGGCACTCCAAGTGGCCAGCTACTGGTCAAAGGACATTTAATAGAATACCAAGTCTGCAAATTTGTGTTTTGTTTGTTTGTTTTTAATGCAATACAACTGTTTTGGTTCGCTCCTGACACAATAAATAAATAAAGCTGGCCCTGAGCATGCTAACACCTCCCAGGGTCTTCTCAGTAATTGCCCCCCTATTATGGAACTCCATAACCCTTAGATCAGCCCCCTCCCTCCTGTCCTTCAGATGGATGGTGAAGACTTGGCTGCGGTACCAAGCTTTTGAGGCAGTGCAATGAAGCAAAATGGTGTCCTGAGATGGTTTTAAAGCAAATTTTAATGTGGATATAAGTGATTTTAATGTTCGTATATATTTATGGTTTTACGTCCCAGCATTGAATGTTTGCCATATATATGTTCGGGGGACATTGTCCTTGCAGAGAATTGGCCGTCTGCAAGGACAATGTCCCCCGAAGGTGAGAAGGACGAAGTATAAATGTTTTAAATAAATAAGTAAATAATGCCTCTGAGGATCCCTGCCATAGATGTGGGCAAAACGTCAGGAGAGAATGCTTCTGGAACATGGCCATACAGCCCGGAAAATTCACAGCAACCCAGTGATTCTGGCCATGAAAGCCCTTAAATTAGAGAGCATCTCCTTGAGATTTTAGATCAGGCCACACTTCTGAATTGTAAGGATGTTCAGTTCATGTTTTAATTCCTGAGAGTTTTTATTCATGTTTGAAGTTCTTACAGCCTTGGTTTTTCCGGATTCATGTTTTCTGGATTCTTGTTTTCCTTTGGATTATGCTCATGTTATGATCCTTGTTTTCCTGTACCATTTGGATTATTGAAAGTGTTATTGGTTGTTGGTTTCAATGCCTTTTATATATTGTTATAATGTTGTTTTATTCTGTCTTATATTGTTGTCATAGATTTTAATGTGCTGCATTTTAAACTGTGTTGTTTGGGCTTGGCCCCATTTAAGCTGCCCAAAGTCCCTCCGGGAAAATGGAGGGAGGGTACAAAAATAAAGAAATTATTATTATTATTATTATTTTACTGACACAAAAGCACAGTATGTCACAGCAAACGAGATCTATATGCTGGATTTCTTATCACAAAATCACAAGTCGAACACTTCCCAAGCGTCTAGGACTGTGTGATGTATTTTCGAATGATGCGCGCAGATCCAAGTAAGGTGGAAATTTTGCAGTAATTTTGTTGATGTTTATTATTTCCAAATGCCGGCTGAGATCTTTTGTCACGGCACCCAGTATGCCGATGACCACTAGGACCACCTGTACTGGTTTATACTAGAGCCTTTGTAGTTCGATTTTGAGGTCTTGATAGCGGCTGAGGTTTTCCTGTTGTTTTTCCTCAATGCGGCTGTCACCCGGTATGGCGACATCAATAATCCAGACTTTTTTTCTTTTTCACAATCGTGATGTCTGGTGTATTGTGTCCAAAACTTTGTCAGTCTGGATTCGAAAGTCTCACAGTATTTTTGCGTGATTATTATTATTATTATTATTTGTTGCTCTGCAAATGAAAACTACAGTGAAAACAAACAAAGGGAATGGATGTCTGTATTGCAGATTGTGGTTTTTGGAAACACACTTTACATCTGTTCCAAGCAAAAGTATTTTTAACTCATAAATGTAACAGAAGTTATGATTTACCTCTTAGCAAACTGATGCTAAAAGAAAATAATCTAGTAAGATTGTTTGTCCTGAACTGTTTGAGGTCAGCCCAAGATTTTGTTTGGTACTAAACACTGACATGTATCATTGGCCAACACACATTTTTGTGCCAAAAATGTGAGACCTGTTTCTGGGTATAGTTGACCTACTGGTTCCAAAAATGGCACCAATTTCCCTGCATCAGCTCTAGTTTTTGAGATACAGAACATATTCTGCAGTCGCGCAGCTGGATAAACCACTAAGCTGCAGAACTTGCTGACCGGAAGGTTGGCGGTTCGAATCTACCAGATGGGGTAAGCTCCCATTGTTAGCCCCCCAGCTTCTGCCAACCTAGAAGTCCAAAAACATGCAAATGTGAGATCAAGAGGTACCGCTCTGGCGAGAAGGTAGCGGTGCTTCATGCTGGCCATATGACCTTGGAAGTGTCTACGGATAACGCTGGCTCTTCAGCTTAGAAAGGGAGATGAGCACCAACCCCCAAAGTCGGACATGACTGGACTTAAAAGTCAAGGGCAAACCTTTACATTGCTGAGAATGTTGCAAGGAGATTAAAAAGGAATACCCATTCCCCAATCTGTTCACATATTCATCTTTCCCTGCCTCAAATTGTTGAGCTAATAGAAGAGAAAGCAAAGAAGTGTTTAACAAAATCATTCATATAAATGAACCCTTTCTGTATCATTTAGCAGCTCTTAATCTTTGTCCACAAAGCTAACTAGGACTTCAAACTCATTTCCTTGTTGGCGGAGTCCCCACTAACTACACCATCTTATCTTATCTGATTTCCATCCTTTCATTTCCCCTTCTTTCAGATCCTGGTCCTTCACGGTTCGGCTTTGAAGATATAGTGTCATTTCTGAGACAAGAAAATGCCAAAGACATTTGCGCTATCCAGTTGCCTCCAGAAATGAGATACAGCAGTTATTTTGTCATTGTCAGTGGATCATCTCCAAGGCACCTCCACGCCATGGCACAATACCTGATAAAAATGGTACTATTAAAAAAATTCTTTAAGATTTAGGGAGAGAGTAAACAAACAAAGAACTAGGCAGTTACTTATGCCTATTAAAGAGGAAATGTTTAGGTCTGAGTCTACAAAGGCTGAGAGATTTTATCTACTATTAAATGTTGCTTGGATGCTGCAGACTGTCCTACGTATATATGGTGGATATAGGCATTCAAGGTTTTTCACAACTTACCGTATATTCTCAAGTATAAGTCGAGTTTTTCAGCCCTTTTTTAAGGCTGAAAAAGGCCCCCTCAGGTTATACTCAAGTCAAAGTTATTTATTATTTTACTCAGTTATTATTATTTTATTACATTTATTATTTTACTCTATTTATTATATTACATTTACATTATTTTACTTTATTATTATTATTATTATTACGTTTATTATTTTACTCCATTATTAGTTTTATTATTTTACTCTATTTATTATATTACATTTACATTATTTTACTTTATTATTACGTTTATTATTTTACTCCGTTAGTATTACATTTATTATTTTATTTTATTTTTATTATAAAACTTACTATTTTACTCTATTTATTATATTACATTTACATTAGTTTACTTTATTATTATTATTATTACGTTTATTATTTTACTCCATTATTATTACATTTATTATTTTACTCTATTTCTATTATAAAACTTATTATTTTACTCTATTATTATTACATTTATTATTATTATTATTATTATTGGAATTATATATAAGCGTATTTACATTGAAGAAGGTTCAAATAACGGTGTAATCATAGTTGGACAGTTTTATCTTAAATTACAGTTTTAAATTACAGTTTTATCTTAAATTATTCAAAAACATTTAACCTACTGATGCCTTGATTAATGTAATTTTATTGGTATCTATTTTTATTTTGAAATTTATGAGTAGCTGCTGCATTTCCCACCCTTGGCTTATACTGGAGTCAATAGGTTTTCCCAGTTTTTTTGTGCTAAAATTAGGTGCCTCGGCATTATATTTGGGTTGGCTTATACTCGAGTATATATGGGTATATCATATTTATGGCAGTAAGCATTAGCTCATCTGTGAAGGAGGAATTGGTTTTGAGAGAGAAAATAGAAAATGCCTTGCAAATGAAAAGTTTCTCAGTAGTACACACATGTACATAAAATAAACTGATATATACCTCTACTATTAGCTTACCATCAAACGAAGGCACAATGGGACAATGTGGGATAGGAAAAATCCATTACAGAAATCTTGAGAGTAAGTGTGTCAAGAAATGTTCTATGGAGGAAGCATTATAGCTAATGGAAACTTTTTGCTTTACTGCAACATACTCGTTGATGGGTTCTAGGATTTATTGTATGTCATCTTCTTGGGAGACATATATTTCCATAACTGTGACTTACACACCCATTTGCACCTTTGCATCCAACCAGGCACAAATCTTGACAAAATTTAAGCCATGTTTTTCTTCTGTATGATTTTTGACAACTTTGCTTGATAGAGAAGCCTTTGGATCTATTAGGTTATTTGGGCCGCAGTGGTGCAACAGGTGAATCCGTTTTGTTGAACTTGCTGACCGGAAGGTTAGTGATTCAAATCTGGGGGATGAGGTGAGCTCCCGCTGTTAGCCCTAGCTCCTGCCTACCTAGTTCGAAAACATGCAAATGTTTCCTTGGTGGGAAGGTAAATGGTGTTCCGTGCAGTCATGTTGGCCATATGACCTAGGAGGTGTCTGTGGACAAAGCAGGCTCTTTGGCTTAGAAATGGAGATGAGCACCATCCCCAGAGCCGGAGATGAAGGGGAAACCTTTCATTGTTCCAAGGCATTGAATGTTTACCTTGTGTCTGTATATGCTGGAATCCACCCTGAGTCCACTTGTGGAGATATGGGGGGACAAATAAAGTATTATTATTATTATTATTATTATTATTATTATTATTATTATTACGTTTGGATATTGTCTTTTGAGGTACGGCCAATACATCTACCTCTGGATATGTTTTATTGTAAGCACTGTTGATATGCAATGATTGACACCTAGCAATTCCTTCTTCCTCAGTTTTGAGCAGAGTTTTTGCGTCATTCCTCCCACGTAGCTGCTGTCAGGATTAGTAATGTGGGTAGAACTTAAGAAAAGTCAATAATATTTTGATAACTCTGCCAATATTGCATGAGAACAGTTGTATAGCATTGCTCATGTGTGAGGGTTGTGCCCGTTGAAGGCCTAGGACACTAATTAACTTGCTTTTGATAAACTTTCTAGTTATTGACCAGTTATTTAATGAATAGCCCACCTTTCTAACAGCACTCCATGCAGTCATTCTGGCCACATGACCTTAGAGGTGTCTACGGACAATGCCGGCTCTTCAGCTTAGAAATGGAGATGAGCACCAACCCCCAGAATCGGACACGACTGGACAATGTCAGGGGAAAAACTTTACCTTTATCTACTCGCCTTTCTCCTCATATGTGAAGCTTGCTTCCAAAAGATACCAAACCCATCTGAACAAATTTTATAAGAATTGGTGTGAGTTTTCCGGGCCATATGCCTGTTGGAAGCTGTCCTGAGTCCTTCTTCAGATGTTGAGAATGACAGAGTATAAATGTTTTAAATAAATAATAAATTTCCCAGAAGCATTCTCTCCTGACATTTCACCCACATCTTTGGCAGGCATCCCCGATAATACCTCACAATCTCTGAGGATGCCTGCCATAGGTATAGGTGAAACCTCAAAACAATGTTTCTGGAACATGGACATGTAACCTGGAAAACTCACAGCAACCCAGTGATTCTGGCCATGAAAGCCTTCGATAACACATTTATAAGAATTTAAAAAAATGCTGAGAATAATTTTTTCTGATATAAAATGCAAATTTTCAGGCTCTGTAGCAAAGTGATTTGAAACATTTTGATAGTTTTAATAATACTATTCCTAGACAAGAATGTGCTGCCACCTATAACTCATTTTTTTATTTTTTTATTTGGTACTTTTGGAAGCAAGCTCTACATATAGACAAGGTGACCACTTTTGCAAGAACGTGGTGCTGGAAAATCAGTATGATTAACTTTCAGGTGTAATAATATATCTGGAAAACCTACTGGGACTCAAGATACTCATGGCTCACTTAAGTTCCATTGATTTCATTGGGTCTGCTTTTACTATGATAATAGTAAGGTATCGGGTATGTCTAGTTTCTCGCACTCAGATACAGGCATTCAGGAGCATGGCTCTTTTTCACTGTGATTTCTTTCTCTTTCAGTTCAAGCATTTGAAGACAGACTGTGAGCCTCATGTTGTGATAGAGGGGAAAGACACCGATGACTGGTTGTGCATAGATTTTGGTAAATTGATTACTTACTGCTAATATAAAGTAGAACCAGAATTATTATTAGCCTCCCATAAGGATGGTAAAACATCTGAGCATCCCCTGGGCAACGTCCTTACAGATGGCCAATTCTTCACACCAGAAGCAACTTGGTTTCTCAAGTTGCTCCTGACATGAAAAAAAAATCTAGTCCTATTGCCTTTTTTTGCGAAATGTAGTAGATTTGGAAATGATGGTTGCTAACTGGAACCATGTTTCTTCAAGTGTGAAATTTGCACACATGTGACCCCCCAACTTTGGAACTCACTACCTGGAGAAATTAGGAAAGCCCCTACCCTAGAAACCTTTAAAAAGGACCTTAAAACCTGGCTCTTCAACTGCACCTTTGGAGAGTAGGTATACAATCCCACACTACTGCTTAGCCTCAACGTTCTATTCTTGGAGTATATGTCGTCCCTCCTCTGTGGGAAAGTTTGATTCCACAACTGCTATAATGAGCTCTCCTCCGCAAATAATCTGTCTCTTTTTATCTCGCCCGAGTTTTAAATTAGTTTTAATTAGTCTCTGTTTTAATCATTACATGCAGCTCGCCCATTGTCATTGTGATTGTGTCTATTATAACTTTATATTGTTATGTATTTACATGTTTTATTTTATTATGATGTTGCTTTTTACTGTTTGCGTTTTCTGTTGTGTTTTGGTTTTATTTTTATTGTAATTTGTTGTTCGGGCTTGGCCTCATGTAAGCCACTCCGAGTCCCCACTGGGGAGATGGTGGCAGGGTATAAATAAAGTTTATTTTTATTATTTTATTATGGTAGTTGCTGCACAGGTGCATCAGCTACCATATGTGCAATTTCACAGAGACCACAAAGGAAAAATAAGAGTTTCATTTTTAAAGCAGGGGTACATTGAATCTCAACAAAATGTTCACTCTGGCATGAGCTTTTTAAAAAGTTTTCATGGAACCCCTCTGATGCTGTTGTGGAAGTCTGGGGTTATGTGGAATATAATTTGGGAACTGCTGGAATAGAGTATCGGGGAAAATGCTTACTTACTTTTGCTTACTGTCCCACTCTTTTTACAGGCCATACTGTGGTCCACTTCATGTTGCCAGAGACACGTGAAATCTACGAATTGGAAAAGCTGTGGACACTCCGATCTTATGATGATCAGCTAGCACAAATGATTCCCGAATCTATACCAGAAAACTTCATACTTGGGATGAATTCAGAACAGGAAGAATTAGCTTCTACATAGAACAAAGGACAGTGATTGGACATTTGATGACAAAGAGAGCATAACTGTTGGCGGCAACGTGGTCACAAACTCAAATAGCAATCTTATGGATTAGATGTGTACAAAATAATTTTATAAAGAAAGCTTGGATATAATGCCAAAAAAAGTATCATGGAAAGAAAAGGCCACACATGGACGTAAGTTGGTGAGAAACTAGTCATTGTTCCCATCACAGTGACTTCTTTTGGATATCCCCTTTTAACAACTCAGATTTGGTTGATGGAATTCTGTCAAAGTAAGAAGATCAAAAGAAATACAACTATTTTGGGAGGGTTACTGAGTTAATGTAGTAGCAAGATATACTGTAACTGATACCTTGAAACATGTTTGTCTCTACAAGGATCAGGATTGTTGAATTCCAAGCAAGTTGTGGATGTTGGAAATAAATATGTAGTGGCCTTGCATTATTTAAACAGTGGTGTCAATGTAATGGCAATCCTATGAATTTCATACGCAAGGAATGAGCCGGTTTGCCATTTCTGGCCTCTGTAGTACACCCTAAAAGAAATTGGTATTTCTTAGTCGTCTCCCTTCAAAGTACTAACTAGGAATGATCCTTCCTAGTTAGCTTCAAAAACCAGGTGGATCTCGTGCCTTCCAAGTATTTGTGTACATGTGCTTTCGAGTACATGCTCCCTTACAGTGACATTAAGTGTTTTTCTTAGTCAAGGAACACCCAGGAAGTGGTTTTGCTGCTTCCTTCCCCTTGCTATGTAGGCTATCTTCAGTTCCTGGTATTTGTTGGTCATCTCCCATCTTCATTCCCGGCATGGAGGAATGTCAGTCTTCATTTTGGTGCCCTGTGGGTATCACCAAGTTAGAGGGGTGCAAGGTCTGTGCTATTTCCTCTCCCCAGTGTGCCATATAATCAGACTATGCCGCTTCCCAAATTAGAAGCGACAATTGATTACGCAGGAAGAAAGCCACTGGGTAATCCATAACGTAGGGAACGTTCCAGGCAACTTCAGGTAACATGGGTCAAGGCTCTGTGATGTCAGATCAGATCTATGTATTGCATAATGGGTATGGGGCTGATATGGTACCTCTGAGCCATAATGTAAGATTGACTTACTGAGAACAATGGCACCTAGGTGTTGTTTACATCTCATTGATTCATACAGTAGTAGCAATAAAAGCCATTATTACTCCAGTAATCCCATGCAAAGGTAGGGTTTGTCTCTATGTGTATTTAATATTAGACCTCATCAGCCATTTTTCAGAAAAACTCCAACCACTCAATACCCTCTTCCTGAAAACAAGTATAAGGGGGTTTGAGACTGTTCTGGAACTGCCCAAGGAGTTTTTAATGAAGGGAAGTGTTAGATGTAATCAGCCCTATATATAAAGGGAGGGCTTGATCTATAGCTTGAAAATATCCTAAAAAGCAAAACTTTTATATAAATTGTCCAAATCCAGGGAGTGGGGTGAGCTCCCGTTGTTAGCCCCAGCTTCTGGCAACCCAGCAGTTTGAAATCATTCAAATGTGAGTAGATCAATAGGTACTGCTCTGGCAGGAAGGTAATGGGGCTCCATGCAGTCATGCCGGCCACATGACCTTGGAGGTGTCTATGGACAACGCTGGCTCTTCGGTTTAGAAATGGAGATGATCAACCCCCCTTCCCCCGAGTCGGACATGACTAGACTTAATGTCAGGGGGAAACCTTTACCTTTTATTGTCCAAAAAAGAGGGGAAAGTCTTATAAAACTTATGTATGGGACTATTTTACTGCCTCAACCAAACCAACATCCACCATATTCGAGTTAAGCCAAGATTGAAAAGTTTATTATCAGAAAAAAACTTTCCACTGTCCAACCCATGCCAAACATCACAGAGCAGATACAATTTACCAATACAGTGATGTTGCAAAATAAGACTTAATTTGTCCTATAGGCCATTCAACTATCACCGTGATCATAATTTGAAATTGAATTCCGACGAAACAGAGGTACTCCTGGTCATTCAGAAGTTGGATCAGGTATGGGATTAAAGCCTGTGTTGGATGGGGTCGAACTCCCCTGAAGACCCAGGTTCGCAGTCTGGGGGTGCTCCTGGATTCAATGTTTAACCACCCCAGGTGTTGGCAGTGGCTAGGAGTGCCTTCACACAAAAACATGTACGCCAGCTGTGCCCATACCCTGAGACACCAGATCTGGCCATGGTAGTCCACGCCTTAGTCACATCCCACTTGGACTACTACAACGCTCTCAACGTGGGGCTGCCTTTGAAGATAGTTCAGAAGCTTCAACTAGTCCAGAGATCAGCAGCCAGGTTACTAACTAGAACGCCGTTCAAGGAGCGGACAACTCCCATGTTACGGCAGCTCCACTGGCTGCTGGTCCAATTCCGGGCTAAATACTAAGTGCTGGTTCTTGCCTATGAAGCCCTAACTGGTTTGGGCTCAGCGTATCTATTAAACGGCATCTCCTTGTACAAACTTGCCTGGGCTTTTCAATCAGCTGAGGAGACCCTACTCTCGGTCCCACCCCCATCTCAAGCACAGCTGATGTGAACGAGAGAGAGGGCCTTCTCAGTAGTCACACCCCAACTTTGGGAATGGCTTCCTCAATGCGATCAAAATGGCCCCCTCCATACTCACTTTTAAAAAGCAACTAAAAACATTCTTATGCTCTGAAGTATATAACAAGGAGGAAAAGAGCTTGCAACACTGATAAATGGAACAGAAAGGAAATGGATCTGGCCCTCTAGCTTAGCTGGCTTTTAATGGTGTAAATGATTATTGAATGATAAGTACTTAAATTACTTATTTTTTCATTGTGTAATGTATCACATTGTTTGTTGTTTATATTCTGTTTTATACAGGCATTGATTGTTTGCTTTTATTATGTTGGAAGCCACCCTAGTGGGCGACAAAGTATTATTATAATCTGGAAGGGGAAAAAAAGTCCACATAGATCTGACAATAGTAGGAGTTAAACTCTTTATTTCATTCAGAGGCATCTGGCAAGTGAAGCTGCATTGGGGGCACATTACAGAGGAGAAATGACCAACACTTTTGTGAAAACTGAAATCATTTACAGAATCACGTCCGAGCTATTTCCAAGTACTCCAAATTACCAAGTCTCAACTGAATGTAAAAGACATGATTTTTTTTACCACACTAAAGTCTACAAATTTAAGAAAAAAATGACAATATTTAAATCAGCAAATGTAAATTCAGCACTAAATTTTGTAAAATAAAACTGTTATGGAAAACAATCAACTTAATCTTTTCCCCCCAATATTAACAAAAAGATATTGGACTCCTGACAAAAATGACTGTCTCATACTTAGTAATTGTAAGGAAAAAAAATCTAATCGTCCAAAAGAGGGGAAAAGGCTTCCATTTTTTTCCTTCTGCTAAACTAAAACATAAATTTGTGGTTTTAAAACCAATTAGTAAAGAAAAGATGGAGTAAATTAAAAAACAAAACAAAACACCAGACCATTTTTTTTCAAAATTTATCTAACCTGTACAAACAATGATCTTTGGGAAAATGATCTATTCTATGTAGAAATGCCTCTATTTTCATATCAATCTAAGAGGTAGATCAACAAAATGGTGAAACAAGCGTTTTTTTGTTTTTGCTAGTTGTGCCCCTCAACATCAGTGCAGCGTAGCAGTTCCAATCTTCTCATGCACAGAAACATCACAAACAAAAGGGTCCGAGGTAATAATAGCATGGCTTTGTGCACACGGGCGGGCGCGCACACGCACAGCAGTCTTTATGCACCATGTGTTGCCACATCTGTTAAAACTGAGGTAGACTGAAGTTTATTGTAGAAACTTGAATGCACATTACCACAATCATGATTCAAATTACATTCTGAAATCAAAATAATAATAATAAATTTGGTAATTTTCCTGTGATCCCTGCCTTTGTTTTTTTGATAAGTTTCCTTACTCCTTTTCCTTTTGTGGTGGGCTGCAGAATGTGCATAAATCCTGCTGTATGTTATTTTGTAAGCCAAGCCTGAGGTTGTATTAATTCATTTTTCGTCGTTTTAAAAAAAACAAAACACCTTTGAAGTGGCTTAGTATGGCCCTTAATCGCGGCTGGATATGTAAACTTAGCCTTTCATTACCTTTAAATGGGATCAAACCGTGTCTGATCTCTCCTCCCCTGCCCAATATTCACGTTAACTGAAAAACAGTATCGAAGCAATCTGCTGGAGAGCTGGGAACCCAATGCCTCCGAAACCGCTCTAGCAGATCCGGCATCCTACCAAACTGAAGATGAAGCTTGCTCTTTGAAAACAGAACCGGCAAATGGGCTGCAAATGGTTTAAGTGTCGCATTAGTAGGTAGGTAGTGATGGTCAAAGGCACAAAGGGTTCATGCATTCAATCAATCAAGTAGTACAAGGAAAACACAAAAAAAGTCCAGTCTCCCAAAGACTTTCTAAAAAAATTTACCCCCCAAGTCCCAGCCTCTTGCCATCACTTCCTTGTTCTGTTCCCAACAAAGTACCATCACAAACTTTTTTCCCATCCCATCCTAAAAGAAATAATAATAATAATGGCATTGCTGCTATTACAATGTTGGCATTTGTTCAGGTATCGTTTGAACATTCACTGATTTTTTTTCCCTCCCCGCAAACAAATGATTGTGTTGACACCCTCAGATATTATTCCAAGACTTATTTTTCCATCTCACTCCTGTCAGCCAGCAGTTAGAAGCAACTTATATTTCCCCCACCTTAATATATTCTGTAGTGCTCCTGGCTGCTGGCTGATCAAATTTTACTTTTATTAAAAAAATAAAATGCTCAAGAACTATTAGCTTTATAAAGTATACAAAATACCAAAAAGAAAGCAAAAAAAGAGGAACAATTTCTTAATTGAGGTATTAAATGCCTGAGGTAGTTTAGTAAAATGCATATTTGTCTTTTCATGCCCTGGCCAACACCATGAAACACTTCCCTTAGTTTATACATGGCAGTGTTATGTAAAAAAAATGCAACCAAATGTTTAAAAAGAAACGCCACTTGGTTAACATTCGGGAGTAACACTTCACACCTCTTTGTCAATGCCCTTTTTTTTCTAAATCCCAAACCCTAACTGATAATAATCCCACCCTTCAAATGTTTTTTTTTTCCTTCTTTGTTTACAAGTGGACTAGAAGAGCAATGCCTTTTCTTTCTGGTTTTTCTTCTTCTTCAAATCAGTGAATGCAAAAGAGAAAGCTTCATTAAACCAAGTTTCTAAAATTGCTGGGGGATAGGTAAGAGCAATAAAAGAAGACTAACAAGTTTATGTTAAACTGTGAGAATAGAACAAAAGGGAAGTGAAGGGGGTCCTTATTTTAAAGCTGGGTTTTCAAAAGTAAGAGAGCCTAAAGAATACATTCTCAGAGACAGCATGCCAACGGTGGCCTGGTCCTCAAACAATGACTGGCATGGTGAAACGTCTGCATATCACTCCAACAGGTGCCCAGAACCTGCCCATTACAGTCTCTCTCTTTGGTCTGGCATCTGTCTCCGAAAGGTCTTTTCCTCAACCTTTTATTTCCGTCTCTGCTGAGGCTGTCCACTCTGTGCCGTTTTCTGCTGTTGCTGCTGCCTTCTTACCTGAGCCAGTATTTCCTGAATTTTTCTCTGAGCAAGCTGCAGATAAAAGCAACAAAGAGTCAATTCTACTATAGCATTATGTTAGACCAGGGGTCCTCAAACTAAGGCCCGGGAGTCGGATACGGCCCTCCAAGGTCATTTACCTGGCCCTTGCTCAGGGTCAACTTAAGTATGAAACTACTTGAAAGCACACAATAACAACAACAATCCTATCTCATCAGCCAAAAGCAGGCCCACACATTCCATTGAAATACTAATAAGTTTATATTTGTTAAAACTGTTCTTAATTTTAATTATTGTATTGTTTTAAAATGTTTTTTTGCACTATAAATAAGATATGTGCAGTGTACATAGGAATTCATTCATCCGGGTGTCCCCTGAGCAACGTCCATGCAGATGACCAATTCTCTCACAGCAGAAGTGACTTGCAGTTTCTCAAGTTGCCCCTGGCACACACAAAAATGTAATAGCTATAACCAACTTGTAATTAGCACTTACATTTAGCCCTCCTATTTGCATAATACAGAAATAGACACCTACCTGGCATGCATAGAAGTGGCCAGTAATTTTCACAACAACCTGATCGTTTTCATCTGGTGTCTGGTCACGAGGAACAACAACTTCTGCACTTGTCAAATTCTGGAGCTCATTTACCTATTAAAAATAATCATAATCTAATCACTTATGTAAGGATACTACACAAGTTTTCCTCATTTAAAAAAACTCTTGAAGCTGGAGCAGTTTAGATGTATAGAAAAATATATTCATATCCATGTTCATGTTGTTCAGTATTGTTCATCTACTTGCCGTTTTGCCTCCTTTACCAATAACTCTTCCAGCAGCATAGGAGGGCACTTTTATATGAGCTTCAAGTTTCACTTCTTCTTTAGGTCCAAAGAAGTTTTCCTCCTTAAGTTTACCATAAATTCTTCCTTGAGCCTTCAAAGGAACAAAAAACACACACACATATCAATAAAAAAAAGGGAGAGGTGAAAATCTAGCATCATCTTCAAGATCATTTCAAGACGAGCTTTCAAGACTATCCATCCACTTCTTCAGATGCACTGAAAGAATGATATCGAAACTATAGGTTTTAAAGCATAGTAATACTGTTGTGCAAGTAGGATCAGATGTAACAATACACATTAGGACACAAATTATGACAAACACAGATTAACACCTCTGACCTATGAAAACTGGGGAGTATAGGTATTCAGGGGTTTCTTACAACTTACTCCAAGATGTGTGACTGAAGCAGAATAAACAACTCTGCATCTGTATGCTTGTCCACAATGCCCTGCCTCATGCACAGAAGAGGAACTGGTTAAAGTTACAGGCAATGCAGTCACTGCTGCCTGTTTTTGGTCTACAATTATTTAGCTGCTTGTGCTCCCTCTATTTTATCAGGTTTTAATAATTATTTATGTCATGTTTTTGATACAATTTAAATAAACTCCAAGATGGCATTAGAAAACACAGTATAGGGTGGCCTTGCGGATGCCACTTATTACCATCCCACAGGTTTCCCAGTAAGTGGGCTGCAAAGCAGGGTTTGTGAGCTGGAGGTAGGTCATTCAACACTTAGATCCAAATTATATGTGGTGGAAAGGGTCTAACCCAGAGTTTTCCAATCTGTGTCTCATGACACGTTAGTGTGTCAGCCGCAGTGTGTAGATGTGTTATACCGATGTAATGAGAAACCTCTGAGTCTATTTGAAATAAGCAATATGTCATATATTTTAAAATATATAAATGAAATATTTTCATGAGCTATGTTGCAACCCCATATATTTCATTATTACCTTTTATGCATGTATAAAAATGATGTTAACAACATAAATGTTTGGAAAGCTCTGGTCTAACCGCTGTAATCAATGAAGTTGCAAGCTTCAATGCAGAACTGTATGTCTCATTGAACACAATTTCATGCCCAGCTCATCTCCATTAGTCAGATAACTAGTTGTTGCATTACACAAATGGTTTTCTCATCTTATCTTTGAGTGTATCTACACTGTATGGGAAACCCCCGGTGGCGCAATGGGTTAAACCTTTGTACTGGCAGAACTGCTGACTGAAATGTTGGCAGTTCGAATCTGGGGAGGGGGGTGAGCTCCCATCTGTCAGCTCCAGCTTCCCATGCGGGGGCATGAGATAAGTCTCCCACAGGATAGTAAAATATCTAGCATCCCCTGGGAAACATCCTTACAGACAGCCAATTCTCTCACACCAGAAGCAATTTGCAGTTGCTCAAGTCACTCCTTACGTGAAAAAAAATCTACACTGTATGTTGAATTAACACAGTTTGACACCACTTAGATTGTTATGTCTCATGGGAGATTTACAAGGCTAAAGAGGGCTGGTGTCTTACCAAATACAAATCCCAATATTCCACAGCAATTAGCCCATTTCAGTTAAAAGCATTGTCAAACTGCATTAATTCTACAATGTAGATGTACCCTTAGCCAACAAAGTTGTTTTGCAGTTGTAAAAATATTTGCTCATAGAGTGGCAGGTTTTCCTCCTAGTAGGAAAGGGGCCAGCAAAGTATTTGTGTTCATGGCCACAAATGTTTCTTTCTTTCTGGAAACTGGCCATGGATCAGCAGCCAACAATTCACAAACTGGCACTGGTCCATGATCTAGCACTTTGAGTAGCACTGATCTAAAAAGCACGGAGAAGGGAACAAAAAGGGGGGGGGGGGTTAAAACATAATCAGTCCCTCTCCTTTTAAGTTGTTATGTGGCCAAGAATTGTGAAATACAAGAATAAAATTGTGCTGAAATAAATATTACTGAGGCTGGCACAGGCATCTCACTACTGCTAAAGAGTGGATGAAAGCTTTCTGCTAGGAGTTGCATTTGCCAAAGCCATCAGCCACCGGTATGTTAGGAGGATACTATGGATATAAAAGTTGGAAGGTTCTACATAAATAAACAAAACATGAAAATAAAAATTCAAGGGAAGGTTGGCCAAGAAAATGTTCATTGAAGCCTTGCGTGAGAAGGCTAAGCATAACATATGCATGTGTTTCCCAACATCTCATTGCACAAGGGGGTGACTCAGCTTAACTATGTTGGTAAGAATGTTCGCTATGCCAATGTTATGTCAGTAGCATGTTTATCTTTATAGGAAACACATTTTCTCCCAACTTTTTAATTTGTGCAGAGGAAATTCTACTTGAATGTGTGGCCATTTTTACATATTCTACCTCTTGTAAGCCATGATGACTGAGTATTACTTCGAGCATGTAGTTCATTTTCATTTCAACTGGATACGTCACCTAAAGTTGTTGGGAGCTTTTGAAAACCCAATGTATGTCTACAAAGTGAAGGTGGCAATTGTTACTCAACAGTATGGTGATCCTATCACTGTGTGTTTCTGGCAAGATCTGTCTGATCTTGCACAAGGTGGTCAGTGGGATTCTGTGGTTGAGCACAGATTTGAATCCAAGACTCCTGGAGTCCTAGTCCAAAAACCAATCACATCATACCAGCTCCCAGGAAAGATTGTCTGACTATGCTAATAAATACTTCTTAATTCCATGGATTCATTGTATTACTGTGAACTCTA